TTGGCTCGGCGGCGACCCCGGTATAAAAGTGCGAGGCCTACTGACCGTGTTTCTCCAGCAGCACCTGAGCAAGCACCCAAGCTCTACCCGCTCACCGTCATGAAGCTCTCCGTCGCGTTCGTCAGTGCCGTCCTTGCCTTCGCCGGGATTCCTGGTTCCTTGGCAGGCCCCGTACGGGTGTGTAGCTCTCCTACTCTAAGCGAAAATTCGAACTCATGATGATTGCAGCGCCAGGACACCACCGTTGTGTCTGACTCCGCGACCCCGTCGTCGTCGTTTGTCTCGTCGACGCCCAGCTCGTTCTCCATCGTGTCGTCGTCATTCGTGTCGTCTACCCCCAGTTCGACTCCTGTCTCGGAGTCTTTCAGCTCGTCGTTCGTGTCGTCCACGCCGAGCTCGGTCGCGGTTTCCAGCACCGTCGTATCATCTACACCCAGTTCAGTCGCGGTGTCCGGCACCGTCGTATCATCTACACCCAGTTCAGTCGCGGTGTCCGGCACCGTTGTCTCGTCGACGCCCAGCTCCATTGCGGCTTCCGGCACCGTCGTATCGTCTGCGCCAAGTTCCGTTGTAGCCTCCGGTACCATCGTCTCGTCCACGCCTAGCTCAATCGCAATCTCCGGTACCATTATTTCCTCTGCGGCCAGCTCGATCGCAGTTTCTGGCACCATTTTTTCCTCTACGCCTAGCTCGGTCGCAGTCTCCGGTACCGTTGTCTCATCTACTCCAAGTTCGGTTGCAGTTTCCGGCACCATCGTCTCATCGACGCCAAGCTCGGCCGCGGTTTCCGGCACCGTCGTCTCGTCTACGCTGAGCTCAATCGCGGTTTCCGGTACCATTGTCTCATCGGCTCCGAGCTCAGTGGCAGTCTCTGGCACCGCTGTATCATCTACGCCGAGTTCGGTCGCGGTTTCCGGTACCACCATTGTCTCGGCTACTCCAATCGCAGTTTCCGGTACAGCTACCGTAGCGTCGGAGACCGCTTCAGGCACCGCTTCAAGTGTGCTCACAAGTGCGCCGTTCAAGCCATCCGTGATCACCAGCACCATCATAGCATCGCCTCCCGTCGTCACTATCACAGCAACTAACCCCTCTGTTGTAACCATCACAACTTTCGTTCCCTCGGCCCCGACTACCGTGATCATCTCCGAGGGCTTGTCGACGATATACCCTACGGGCGTCCCCACCTCTCTCCTGCCGAACGGCACGGCAGTCGTCATCGGACCCTTCACGGTTGACGTGCCACTTCTGACTCAGACCGTAACCAAGACGGAGGTGAAGACTGTGCACGACGCCGCCACTACAGTGGTCGGCCCCGTAGTGACGGACACGGTGACAGTGACGGGTACGGTGACAGACACAAAGACGAAGGTGATCACGGTCACTCCTACCTTCGGTACCACCGTCATCGTTTCACCGATCCTCAGCAGCACCGCTACGATCGTTCCTCCCACTCTGAGCAGCAGTGTCGCGGTTGTGTCCCCCACCCTTAGCAGCAGTGTCGCAATAGTGTCCTCGACCTTGGCCTTCCAGTGGTGTCGCTGCTAGCAGCTCCACTTTCGTGGCATCAAGCGGCGTAGTCTCTTCAAGTGCTCCCGTCGTTACCGCCTCAGCGGTGTCGTCATCGGGTGCATCGGCTGTGACTGCCTCGTCGGTGGCGGCGTGAGTGCTCCCGTCGCGACTGCCTCATCGGTGGAGGCGTCGAGTGTTCCCGTCGTGACCGCCTCATCGGTAGCGGCGTCGAGTGTTCCTGTCGTGACTGCCTCATCGGTGGCGGCGTCGAGTGCTCCCGTCGTGACTGCCTCATCGGTGGCGGCGTCGAGTGCTCCCGTCGTGACTGCCTCATCGGTGGCGGCGTCGAGTGCTCCCGTCGTGACCGCCTCGTCGGTGGAGGCGTCAAGTGCGCCCGTCGTGACTGCCTCATCGGTGGCGGCGTCGAGTGCTCCCGTCGTGACAGCTTCGTCGGTGGAGGCGTCAAGTGCTCCCATTGTGACAGCTTCGTCGGTGGAGGCGTCAAGTGCTCCCATTGTGACAGCTTCGTCGGTGGAGGCATCAAGTGCTCCCATTGTGACAGCTTCGTCGGTGCCGGCTTCGAGTGCTGTCGATGTTACTGCCTCAGCAGCTCCGTCATCCAGTGCAGTGGCTGTAACGGCCTCGGCAGCGCCATCTTCAAGTGCGGTTGCGACTGCATCTGCAGCGCCGTCGTCGAGCGCGTAAGCTAGTCTCAGTAAGTCTATTCCTATCAACCGTCTACACCAGTCTGAATATTGCGTTATACCGACAGAATACTAATGATCAAACCCATCCGGGATTTCTTTTTTCTCTCTCTACATGAACTATAATGAATAGTACGAACTGGACATTCACTACTTTCACGTAGACGTACCTTGATTAACTACGCTTTGGACATTATAATGGACAATTGATACGACCTCTATTTGATACTGGGAGTCTGCTACTTCCTCCGTGAGTGACATTTTGACAGATTATCAAGGCGAAAAACTGCCCACAATATGGGTTATACCTGCTACAAGCTTTTATTGGATCGTCGAGCCAGTCGTCCTTGATGAGCACGCCGGTCGGTATTTTGCGGCTCTTTGCAAATTGAAAAGGTGTGGAAGTCGAAACAGTCGTCAATGGATCGTTTTATGCCTTCGAATTCCTCGCCCACACACGCGAGGCAGGCTTATTGACGGACGCAGCAATCGAGATGTTGGCAGACGAGTCAGAAGTGGATAAGGGGTAGCGATGAATGGTTCCGTATAGCTTGGGCACTGCGACTACTATGATATACCTCTTCATGCAATCCGTAGACTCAAAGGTTGTGCTGCACGTACTCGCTGTGTATAACTAAGTACATCACGACCTGTTCTCCGCCTTCCGGCTCTTCCTCGCCTTGTTGAATGCCTCCATATACTTGTCGACGTACCCGCTTCTGGCCAGGGCCTCCCCACTCGACAGATAAATCACCCTCGTGCCTTCATTCCATGGTCCTAGCTCAACGAATTTTTCGTGCTCGCTCCTGTCCACTTCAATCACACCCCACTTGATCATTTCAAGCGCTCTCTCGCCTCGCAAGTCCCGCTCTCCGACGGCCTCAACTGCAGCCCAGAGTTCGCTCCAATCCCCGAGATCCAAAATGCGACACGGAACATTTGGGACAAGACATCCATACGTTTCGGTAGCGGAGACTTGCACAGTAATAGGATCAGCGCGGTCGTACAAACGGAGTTGGGGCGCTTGTGGTCCGCTGCCTTGGTGCATGTCAGCGAGTAGGGATCCAATGTAGTACGGCTCAGTGGCAGGTGGGTCGTTGTGATACTGTCCCGGTTTATTGGAGCGAACTTCTAGAGGATCCACCAGGTCCAGCTCCATCCAATAGTCAGGCGTCGGTCGGAACGTCAGTCTGAGAAACTCCGCCCATGAAACAAAGAGTCCGAATGGCACATCAGATTGGTATTGAATCAGAAGGGCCAGTCGCTGCCATCCGTTCATGTGCTTGATGAGCAACATCCATGCAGATTCCAAGGAAGCCGACTGATCATAGATCGGCAGCGTTCAGCACTCCAGAAAATAAGCGAGTCCGGCGATCCTGTCGAGTTCCGTGGTGCAATGGCGATTCGTCATGGCATGAACTGCGTCGAACCCCCGCAGACTTTGCGGGAGGTCTCGCAGCCGAGAAAAGAATTTGGGGCCATCGGGGTGAGGGGCCGCAGAGAGTCCACCAGGTAACCAGCCGAACAGGGTCTCTTGCACAGTCCACACGCGATTGAACCAGTGCCGATCCGATTCGACAACTGTCGGCGATGGGTCAAAGGGCAAGCCCAAGCCGTTGAAATACGTGATGCACGGTCTGCCATCAGGCTTGGCTTGGTAAATGTGACCGATCGTGGGTACATCGAGTTTCCACTCCTCGAGCCGAGCTTGGTCGTCAACCTTCTTGCCCTCCCACCACAAACAGGCCACGTCGAGCCAGACGTGGTCGAGTGAGATGCCGCGCGGTATCGGGACAAGCCATCGGTGTCCGTTGATCGGGGTCATGACATACCCACGTTCTTGTTCGCGGACCCAGCTGTGTGATACAGTACCGTCCACAGATCATCGGGCACAAAGCCATACTCCTCGCCGTGCTCTGCCCGGGGCATGACACGGAATGGGAGGACTCGGTTGCTGTACAGGTCCTAGATATGTCGAGGAGGGATTCGAGAGTCCTGAATGGAGTGACCGTGAATGGCCTTGTCCCGCCTTTGCTCGACCTCGTCACGGCGATCCTTCATCTTGACGAGTGCTGCCGCAGAATCTTCAGACGACCGCCAGTGAGACCACTCCAAGCGTAGTGTGCCGTATACCTCCCCAAAATCATGTGAAATGCCGAGCGCATACTCCAAACAGTCACGAAGATCAGGAGTGTCTAGTGTATGCGATGTACCAAGGATATTGTTGAGTTTTGTGAGTAGATCATCGATTGGTAGGCGGTCACAAGGGATATCCGCGAGTGTATTGGGTATCGCACCTTGGCCAATGTGCGCACACTGGAGAGGGACGGCGGAAGGGGTAGGAGGAGTGTGAGTGTGTGGATCTCGCCTGCGCCTGAACTCTTAGACCGTAAAAGGTTGTGGATAGGTACAATGCCAGAGGGGGCCATCTGTATTGAGCCCCAGATATTGATCCTGTTGCGATAATCGGCTGGGGCCTCGTTGTCCACGCAATACTTACAACTCGCTGACTACCTCGACCCGCTGATCTATGAATTCAGGGACTATCATTAGCGGGGCGCGGCATGTCCACGGGATGTAGTCGCATGATATACAGTGATGTCCCTGATAGCTTGAAGAAGACCCTCGAGTGCACCGATAATTCAAGTTCTGTAAGCGGTCTGCCAAATGAGAATCGAGTCTTGGGATTAGTCGGCAAACACAGTGAATAGATGTTGGGCGCACCTGCGTAACTTAATCTGCGGAGACACTCTGCTGAAAGCAATTATTACATGCATATGAGCATCGATATCCCGGACTGAGGTTGAGAAACTTACACCATCGGAGGACTTGTTGTCTTCCGAGTCGGAGTATAGCAGCACACGTTGCCCGCAGCCCAGCCGACGTAGCGGAGAGAGATCTCAGAGTTGTGTCCGTGACAGGAATGCACTCATTGTCAGAGTTCCGCTGGACGAAGGCAATCTACTGGGAACTGCTCCGCCCAATCCGCTCGCAAGCTCGCGTCGCATCCCTTGCCCCAACGGGATGCAAGACACATGTGGTCTCCGCAAAGCGCAGCGACCGAACTTGGCCAGCGAGTCTACGGGACAGTGGAACTGTGAGAAAGAAAAAATAAGAGCCAGACTGTGGCAACAGACGGAATGTCTTCAACAAGGGCCGGAAGCCGGGCTAAAGTCAGATATCTGCTCCACAGCCATTTGCCTACTGCTCAATCTAATACACGGGAAATGGACTGTCATCTCGACGTTGGCTGTGCAAGAACAACAAGACGAGTGTGTGTGCGTGTGTCCGAGCAAGCGTTTGTGGCGAGCAGCTGAGCACGCCTGGCTGGGCGACCGATAGATTCATCTTGCACTCCGACCACGATGACGACCAGTGAGGACAGTACCTGGCACACTGTGTAAGAGCCCGTCACATGCCGCTGCCCGTTCGCGGGAGTCTGATACAGCGTTCGCAGCACCGTGCGTGTGCCCTTCGCGTCGCCCAAGCATGCTTCCATCGCGAGGCAGGTGATTGAAGTGGACAGAGAGCTGCAGCCACAAGTGGTCAAACGGACGCTTGCCGTCGAGGGTGACGTCCTTGTCGCGTGAATGTTCTTATTCTGCCACAATTTGAGCGAGACCGCTAATGAGAGGACGCAGGACGTTCAAGACGTTGACGGTGCGCCTCGCCCGGCTGGTGGTGAACGCTTATCTCGAGAACGTCGATCTTGTAGTGCGGACAATAGGCGAATTTGGCGAGGAGGCAGAACGCGATCAGTCATAGGGAACAAACGAGCGAGCAAAAGGCAGGCGTAAATTGTATCGATACATGATGGTGGTTCAAGAGAGAAGCTGCTGTACATCAGCGAATATCGATGGATGCGAGGTTTGCTACACCGGTCGTGGGACACAGCAAGAGGGTCTGTGCCGAGAGTTCGCTACATGACGTACGTGTATAAACATGCTACATTATTGTTTTAAGCCTCAAGTAGAAAGCTACTCCTTCTCTTCCGCGCCCTCAGCTTTCTTCGCGGCCTTCTTTGCGGCCTTCTTGTTTTCACGGAGGGGCTTGGCAATGAGCTCTTTAAGCTCGACGTCCTCGAGCTCCTTCTCCGACTTGACGAGCTCGGGCTTATACCATACTGGTGGAGTAGTGATCAGGGCAGGGCCGGCAGGGAGGAGGGCAACGGTGAAGTGGAAAGCAGCCACGAAAGTGCCTACTGGTGTGTAGCTAGAATGCGGTCAGATCAAGTCTATATCTTTCGGGCGCAAAGTGTTGATACGTACGTGACGTCGTAAGGCTTAACGAGAGCGTGCTGGACGGCCTCCTGGAGACCCAACCGCGCCTTCTTCTCATCCTCGAGTACGCGAACATTGAAGGGGAATGCGCCAGCCTTCTTTTGAACCTCGGAGAATATCAGTCGCGATGTCTTCATCTTCAGCTGGTAGGTGACAGTCGAGTCCTTTTGGTAGATGGTAGTCTTCGAGTCCTCAGCACGCGCCTGTCGTCGCTAATTAGTTTTGATGCATTCGCGAAGAATCAAAGTGAACATACCTTGCCATCCTCTCCTGACGAGACGAGGATATCGATACCCCACACCTCGTTCTCTGCGAAAGTGACAGCCTCAAACTCCCGCTTCTGTGACTCCGACTACGTGAAAAACAAGAAAAATTAGCCGCTTCCAAGGATTTATGGCACGAGACCTACTGGGTTGAGGATAATGCGCTTTTTGCCATCGATGATATTCTGGGTCTGTTGGCACGAGAGCATGCCTAAGAGGGAGAGGAGACCTCAGCCCGAGACAAGCCACGCTTCTCGAGACCACTCACCCTCAACGGGCTTGCAGTCGAACGCCGCCGTGACCTTGGCGACGGTATCGGTGACGGTCCAGTTCTTGTTACCGACGCGTACCTGGCGCATCGCGGCCTCGGCCGCAAGATACGCCGCCTTGATGACGTCTGCTTTCCGGCCTGTAACAGGCTCGTCCGCGGACGCGCCGACAACGAGGGTCTCGGCGCTTACGGCGGCGAAGCCGTCAATGTGTGCGCCGACATGCAGCTTCACGACATCGTCCTTGGCGAGTATCTGCTCCGACAGCGGATCCGAGGCGAGTGGAGAGAAGTGGGCGACGCAGTTGTTCACGGAGATGCAGGTCGGAAAAGCGAGGCCTGGAGGGGCGCCAAAATTGTAGAGAAGGGACAGATACAGTTGAGTATGGAAATTTTGACAGAGAGGGAGACGAGGATACGCACCCTTGGGGACTTTGACACCCTTGACCGCCTTGTTGTACACGGCGCCGGTTCCCTGTTCGATGAGCTTGTCGCCCTCAGTGCAGATGTCAAGGATCTTCGCGCCCTCGACGGAAAGCTCGACGAGCTTCTTCATCGTCGTGTTGACGATTTCTGCAGCAATCTACAGAGAGCACGGCAAGCATGGTCGCGAGATGTGTTGGCCTTGATTAGATCTAGTGGCGCACGTACATAGCACTTGAGTGTGCTGACCTTGTATTTTGTGAAGTCTGCCTCCGCGGTCGAGCGGGGAGTCTCCTTCACCTCCTTGGTCTCCTCAGGTTTGGTCGCATCGGCCATCGTGGAGGATGATTTAGAGGTGGTCTGAAGGAGTTTGAGGATGAAGGGAAAGAGAGTTGGAAGACAAGGACAGGATAGGGCAGGATTTTTGGCTCTAGGTTTCCTCGCGCGCACACTCTCAGAGATCTGAGATCATCTATGTCCTCACCACCTGATCAGGCAACTGTAGAGTTTCTCACCCATTTCGCTGAAGCTGCGCCTGTGTAGATGCGGGCAAGGGTAAAGCACCTGCAGAGGCACGACACTATATGGCTGTCTCATAAAACGATCGTTACGCTTGTCACCCGAAGCTTGTCCAACAGGACTATATCTCAGAGCTCAAAACCAGTTACGCAGTTCGCACAACTTAGGAGATAATAACAAGTCGCAGCCGAACTAAGACCTCAAGCCGAACTATGGATGGAAGGCGAAATCAAGGAAATATGAGGGCGAAGAACAGTCACTACCTGTGTCATGCACGGTGGCTAACTGCAGCTCACTCCTGGTAGCAGCGTGCGTGGGAAGTAGACACGTGCCAAAAGTGTGAACACGAGCAAGAGGGACAACGAGCGAGATGGATGGCACAGGGAAGATGCAAAGTCACATTACCGTAAGATCCAAGAAAGGTTGACTGTACTAAAAGAGGCCGGGCAGGCTGGGCAAAAACGTCCTGAATGCAAGTTCAGTCAAGACACAGCAGGATACGGAGAAGATACGCACACTGCGCCTAAACCAGCAGCGAATAGTAGGGCACCCCACGCAAGCGATTTGCGCTCTGGCGGCATCTGCACCCGGACACGGCTGTTGCTGACGACCGCGCGCTCCTCCGTCTCTGGCTCCTTGATGTCCAGCTTGTACTCGACCTTCTCGTCTTCCCTCTCCCGTTTCGGCGCCACACTCTGAGTAGACCCCTCTACGGCGAGCATCTGCGACGCCTCAGCCGCCGACCGATCGGCCTTGAGCCGCTCGACAAGCTCTTTCTGCTCGCGGACGTCCTCTTCCACGTTCGGCTGCGCAACCTTCACTATCTCCATGTCCTCCTCTTCAACAGCGGTCTCATCTGAGTTAGTATGGATGCTAACAAGGTGTTCGTGGACAGCCTTGATCGTCTTCGGAGTCTTCGGAGTCTTCGCCGCCGGAGTCACGGTCGCAGGGCTCCGCTGCCGTGTAGAACGTCTGGAGGAAGGTGAGACGGGCTGGCGGCGCTGGAAGACGGAGACTTGCCTTGCAGGTGTGGCGCCCGTCTCGGCCGAGGGGTTCACAAGCGTAGCAGACGCTGTAGGTGAGGCATCCCGTCGCCGTTTGGCAGGAGGCGCGGCGTCTCGTGCTGCGGCACCAGTATGCGCGACTGGAGAAGCCACGGGCGTGGGCTGCTGCTGAAGCAGCTTCTGAGACTTGCGGTAGACCATGTTCGGGTCCGGAGAGGCATCGGCAAGCGGTACAATGACCGGTTCAAGGTTGTAATCCTTCGCGATCTCGAGGGCAACGTCTGGGTTGACCCACGTGCCTGCAAAGCGAGCCTTCCCTGACTTGTTCGCGCCCGAGGTGTCGTAGGTTGCCTTGACCCAAGCGGCCTCCTTGCGCTCGACATCTTCGGGGGCCGTGGGGAAGGCAGTTCTGAACATAGTGGTGAGGCTGATGGCACCCGTGTCTAGTCTGCGTAGGATGAAAGCATGGCCCGAAGGCTGAGAGGCACTGTGAGGATTCAAGTGAGAAGTGACTCCTTGCATCGAGAGCGTACCGTAGGGATCTTCATCCGAGCGACCTACGACAAGATTGAGCAGGCCGATAGCGGTAAAACTGAACAAAAGGGCTCACGATGGTAGCCTGCCCATCTCTAACAATCTCTTGGAACTTAACAGGTGGTACTTTGGCTGGTTCGACTGCAAAGAGAAAGCAAGCGCGAACGCGGACACGTTAGCCTCCTATTGGCGAAGAAAATGAACACAACGGACGTGCGACGATGAGGGGGTTCATGTGAGTTTTAGGAAGAGGCGGCCGCTGAAGAACGGGCTGCTTTGGAGTGGCATGTTTAAGGTGAGAAGCCATCGTCGCAAGGGATCAAACGCGGGCAGGGCGTGTCTGGCGAGGCGGAGGACAACACTTGTCACTTGAGGCTAATCACCCAGGCGGGTTCGTCCCACTTTTGAAACTCCGCCGTTTAAGCGCCCTGTCCTGCCCATGGGTTTTGCCAACTCCTGTCCATCGCGGCTGTACTCTCATGCCTTACAGCGATGGAAGGCACAAACTAGAGGCGGTGCTTGAGGTGAGCAGATAATTTTCTTCACATAATGCCCTCCTTCAATACACACAGACAACGATTCCTGCTGGATTTGCACTCCATTTCCAAGCATTTGAGATCTTTAATGCTGCCTCAGGGGTACGCTGATGCTCTCCGTGCGTAATGGAAAACAACGCAGCCCGATCCAGTGCCCCCGCAATGGGAGGAACTATACATCCCAGGAACACTGACCGGCTCAGCTGGACAAGCCTGATCCCTAGGATCGTCGACAGCATGGTGGATATTGGTTGGTACATGGAGTACGGCTACCATTGTATAGGACCACTCGTGCCGCTCATGAAGGATAATTGGTATTGTTTTTCACCGCGGGCGGTCTTCTGCTAACGCGGGAATACGACGCGTACATCCCGCAGGTAGTCTGACGTTCGAGCAGTTTGTGGCAGCGTACCGGTCGAACGGTGGTCTTGATATGCTGACGACGCCGCGTGACATCGTCCTTGCGCGTGATGTGGGCTTGCCGTGGGAGGATAGGATAATCGGTCGGAATCTGTGACAGGAATGCAGGATCGGGGCAAGACGTGCACGCTTGAGGCTTTGAGGAGAGTAACAAATTCCTCGACGCTCAAAGTTGTTTACCGTTTCGCGCAGTGCGCACTCGCCGTTCAAAAAAATGTGTTTCATTCGCGTGCGGACCAGTCGCTGGCTGTGTCCGAATCATCACTATATACGAAGCAATTAAAGTGGTCCTCAATCTCCTGTTCTGCTTCTATCTCATCCGCAGTCACCGGGGCGAAGCGAGCCAAAGGGCTCACAGCTCTCGAGATGCGCGATGGTACGCTCCGGCAAGGATCGACGTCGAGGCGCAGACGCTGTGGAATACTGTGTCCTGCCTCAGAGAGGCAATGCCAAGCGGGTGAGAGCGGCTTCACAGTAGCGGTCGTGTTCGCATCGACGCGGGTAACCGCAGAGAGCCACTGAGACGACTTGCGCGGACTGCTGCGCTTCTTCGCGTCAGCGTTGGGATTTGGAGTTACCCACTGATGCATATCAGATACTAGATCCTCTGGCGAGATTTGAAGCTGAAGTACGCACCAAGAGCTCAAATACATTGTTCAGCAGGACCATATGCGCCTCTGCCGTGCCGGGCATCCGTCGCCCCGGTCTCTTGCGAATCTGTGCCTCTGCTTTCTTCGCCGCGACAACGACGTAAGACCGCTGCACTATCGGCTGCAGGCTGCGCCAGGTTGCACCTAGCTCGGTTTTGTATGAGCCAGTTCTACGCAAGGGCGTGTCAGACGTAGTCTCCCAGCAGGAGAAACTGTCGCTTACTCGGGATTGCTTAGCTGATAGTCGACATGTGCAGCAGCTTCCTCCCAGATCGGCGGCAGATTCAGAGGCTCGAATTTGTCGGCGTGGTACTGTGCAGTGGTGCTGGCCATAGACAAGAGCGTGCAGTAAGCCTTGGAGGCTGGCGAAGGAATGAACGACAAGAAGTGACACGGGGTCAGCTTGTGTGAGCTACGGACTACTGGATTTATATGGCGTTCCGCGGAAACTGCTGCTGACCATGTCTACGATGACGTTCGTCCTTCGAAGTCCATCCCCCGCCTCACAAGGAAAGCCGACGGCATTCGCGGCAGCACTCGATTACCCCCAGATCGGCACTTCGTCGTCCCGGCGACCAAAAGCTGCTACCCGGGATTATCGCGACTGCATGGAACAGCTCTATATGTATTTCTATGTGGCTTGGTTTTGCTACAATCACAGGAACGAGTAACACATTATTACAAACAGTAGCCCCATTTCACAACTTGAATGTACAGTGTTAGACGTACATGCACTTCACAGTCCCCACATCCGGCCCCGTCGTACCATTCCCTTATGTGGACAAGCTCGGTCCCTCCCTGTCCTTCCCGTCGCCGAGGATCTGCGGCCGCGCGACGAGTGCCTCGATGAGCCCAGTGATGTCACGCCACGACTCGTGCTTCCCGCGGCGGTTCTGCATGTCGGCATGCTCCACCATCTCGAGCACCGGCACCCACTTCAGATTCGAGCCTTGAATTGTGATGACTGCAGCCGACTCTGGCGGCGCGACACGCGGGCGCTGCGTTTGCTTCATGATCGCGTTGTGTTGCTGCTCGACGAACGCTACGCACTTGAGTGCGTGCCGTACTGCGCGTGCGCGGTCGAGGGGAGAGGGAATGCCACCTTGCAGCGTGTGTCCAAGCGAAGCGGACCGCGAGTCGAAAAGCTTGCCACCCTCCTCCTTGAACATGTCAGTGAGCATCTTGGTAGTGTACACCGTGGACGCTTCCTCGCTCCTGCAAAACAGACCTTTTGGTATCGTTGGTGTGATTAAGTGCATGTGAAAACGAACCGCATGACTATACGGCCCTCGCTCTTGCCCTTAACGTCAAGGCTGTAACGCTTCTTGAGGTATTTGACATCATCCCGCAGCATGTTCAGGTTCATCCCTCGTTCTGGGGTGTAGACGATGCAAGCACCGGTCTGCAGCCATTATCAGCTACATGGTCATGCAGCGTATAATAACCCACACACCGCTAGAGCTCCCATGGTGGCGAGATACCCACACTTTCCACCCTGGGTCTCGACAACGAAGACACGGTTCCTGCTTGCACTCGCACTCTGCTTGATGGCATCGCATGCATCGACAAGAGCGTTCAAACTCGTGTCACTGCCCAAGCTGAACTCGGTCATGGGCACGTTATTTGAGATTGTTGCGGGAAGGTGAACGATCGGGATGTTGAACGCCGGATAGTGCTTCCGGCCGTTCTCAAGGATAAGCAGCGAGCTAAACGCCTCGAAGCCTCCGATCATGATCAAAGCATGGAAATTGTGATGCTGGAACTTGGCTGCCGCCAAGCCAAGATCGATGTCTGGCAGCTTGCGGTTTGTACCGAGCTCAGAGCCTCCGCGCGTCATCCAGTTGTCGACACCGAGCCATGATAGCTGGTACACGCTGTCGTCCAGCAGACCGACGAAGCCATTGTGGATAGCGAATGGCTTGTGCCCTTGCGCAATGCAGTACCGCACGATGGCGCGAGTGGCGGCATTCATACCTCCTGCTGGAGCACCAACGCTATAGAATCGTTCAGTCACAGCTTACAAGGGGTTTAGAATGACTTGACTTACTGCATAATACCGATGCGCATCCGCTATGCAGGTATGTCAGTTTGTAGCTCTACGGAAGTGAGTAATCACGCACTTGTGAATGCGGCAGACGAGGTTCAGGGTGGATCTGAGACGTCGCATAGAAGCCTTCCAGTGATTCACGAAATTCGGGGTTACGCAGCGACATGGCCTTGTCGAAATCCTTGTTGGAAATTGCCTCGGAGACGGAATGTGTCTAGAAGAGCGTGTAAACCAAGTACGAATGTATAGTTAGCGACTGAACCGACCATCTTAACGGCTTCCACGAGTGGTACACGTATAATCTTGTGTTCCTGAACGCCAATCATGTACGATGGTGTATCAGGCGTTGCCTCGAGCAGGGCGTCCACAGCTTCAACTCCTTGCAAAGTCGGCTGGACAAAACCAAAATCGGTAATCTTTGAAGAGAGGAACGTGTTGTGAACTTACAAGAATACGATCAAACGCGCAGGGACGTCCACCACGCTGGGTGTGACCAAGCGTGGTTACCCGAGTATCCAGCCCAAGCTTCTCGGACAACACATCCTTGATGTGTTCTGCGTAGATGGGCTTCAAGTCCTTGTCAAGAGCACCCTCGGCCACTATGACGATGGTCTTCCGCTTGCCTATGTCACGATGCTATCCCATGCGCAAGAAGATATGTCATCCCAGAGTGTACAAGACGGATAAGATAAGACGCGTACGCGCTGAATCATCTTGCACATTTCCTCTTCCCAGGAGTCGGTCGTTGGCGGCCGCTCGGGAATAAAGATGAAGTCCGCGCCGGAACTACAGGGAGCGATGAGGCTTCGGATATGGCAATATACCGCCCAGACACCCACCTGACACCGGCGAGAAGCGCGAGCCAACCACAGTGCCTGCCCATGACCTCGACGACGAAAGCACGGGAGTGGGAGGACGCAGTCGACTCAATGTTGTCGATAGCCTCGCAGATGCGATGCAGAGCGGTGGGTGCACCAATGGTCATATCCGTCATAGACATGTCGTTGTCGATAGAACCGACGAGACCGACAATCTTGAGATAGCCGTAGGTTTTGGCCTGTTCATCTGTGATCTTGCCTATACCGGCATCAGCTCGACGCGCACGCCTACTGAAGTACAGTGACTAGCCTTGTTCGCGGAGTTTTGAGACAAGACTTGGCCATTCTGCCCTAAATACATCGGCACCTGTCAATGAGCCGTCGCCTCCACAGACGGCGAGCGCGTCAATGCCTTCTTTTATGAGGTTGTATGCAGCTGTCAGACGGCCTTCTGGCGTGCGGAACGCTGTTGACCGCGCAGTACCGCACAGAGTGCCACCCTATATCCACTGTCACGACCTTTGTAAATGCTTTCGATACAGTACTTACAACACCGAACCATCCACGCACGTCGTCCCATCCGACGCGGACAATGTACCTGTTTTTCAGTGATCTGCCAGTATGGTGGTCGGAGGTGCCGTCCCTGAGGAGTTCACCATCTCCAAATCGTAAGTTGTGCACGAATCCCTCGTCTCGGATGCGAACGTTCTGGTGCGGAGATAGCGCAGGCTTATCTGTTTTTGTTGCTCTTCCCCATTGCCTCGGACAAGACCTTCATACCCCTCGCGTACGACCCAAGTCTCACATCCCCTGCATTGAAGGTCAATCCTAAGCACATCACCCGCAAAGATAACACGCACTTGAGGATACCCGCTTTGACCACTGCGCGCACCACCGCGTTCATGCCCGCGCTGTCTCCTCCCGAGGTGAGGACGGCGAGCTTCATCCTATATTTTGGCGGGGTTGTCGCCATTGATGTTGCTATTGCGAGGCTCTTCGACGTCGCCGATAGGAACGAAGAGAGTGGATTTTAGGGCGTTGGAGGTCGTCTGAAAGATGGAAAGAGCGGCAGTGCTGAAAGAGAGCTCTGGTCCCCAGCCGGACGCATAAATCGAGCCTCGATCGGTCCCGACTGACATCATTAGTGCAAGTGATAAGAAGATTAGATTGACGCCTAATGTTTACCGCGTCGCGAGCAGAATCAGGCTCATCTGTTCGTAACCGCCATGGTCCACCTCAAGCTCAACGAGCGTGAGGCGAATCCAAATCCCCTCATAAATTTCATAACACCTTTGCCGATGGGTGCATCTGCCGCAGAAGAAGACGCGAGACAGTTGCTCAGAGCTCTCGCCGCACAGGTGAAGCCCATCATGAAGGCGCACGGCTTCACCGTAAATAGCTTTGAAGAGGTATATCGTACCATCCGCCCCGGTTCCACCTGTCCTTACCACCTCACAAGTACGAGCACAACAAAGTATTTCTGGGACGCAACTGGAACGCCGGCGAAACTATTGGTGGGTGCGGAGCTATTGCACGGACGTGACCGTGTCCGACACCTCATACAGAAATCGTATTACGCGGGTCTGGTGGAGTTTTTCTGCCAATCTACGCGTTAATGAGCACATTGTGCCACGAGGTTGGTCAAAGGATGCAGCAATTGATGCCGATCTCCGCTCATAGTAAACGTCGTTCCTTTGCCGATAGCTTGCGCATATCAAGGTGTGAAATTTCTACTTCGAATGAGTGCAGCCGGACCGACTCGATAATTCCAGCATATGAACCATGGTCCCGGTTTCCAAGCACTGTGGGCTCAATTGCGACGTGAGATCCGCGAGCTTCAGAATGAGGGTTACTACGGAGACGGTGAGTAGTGGTCTCAGTCTCGCAACATCTGCGCAGGCCTCATCTCCTCATCTCATCTTGCAGGGTACTGGTCCTCCGGAACCCGGCTTGCGGATTCAGCGCCCGTTGGTGGGGCAGGGATCGACGGGGGCGATCTCCCCGAGTACCTGGTAAGCGCATTCGCGGCTCGGCGTGATACAGTTCTGTGTATGTGGATCTACCGAGAGCAAGCCGCTGACCACAGTTCATTTCGGGACATTCTTAGTGTGGTGGCGCCCATTCGAGAGCCCGTCCCGCCTCCTTCAACCGCCGCCGACGAAGACGACAAGCAGGCCCGTCGAATCACACCGGCGCACAGACGATTAAGAAGCGAAAGGCGGGGTCTCGCGTTACTGCCAAGAATGCTTTCCAGGGTGGTGGCAAGGCTCTCAATGAGGACATTAAAGACGATGACGAGAAGAAGGCCGGCGCAGGCTTCAGGAAGAAAGCAGGAAGGTGGGTTTAGATGTCTGATGTCGGTCCTCGTATCAGGGCTGACTGCCTTGCGCAGCAAACGAGCACGAGAAGAACGCGCTCTGGCTGCGGAGCGTCGCCTGCTGGCTCTACAGCAAAAACCCAGACAGCCTTCCGCTGAAATAGCACAGGACGAGGATAGCTCAGACCTAGAGGACGGTCCTGAGGCGCAGGAGACAGATTCAGATCGCCGTCGCACTATGCTGGAGTCGATGACTGGAGACGACGACATGAGCAAGCTTAAAGCGTCTTTCAAGGACTTCGAAGACGACTTTTTGCCACCGGACGCTGGGGGTTCAACCTCACACGCCAACCCTGATATGCCTTGTGACATCCAAAGTTTGCCGAGAACTGGTTCCACATCAGCGGCGTCCTCTAGCCGGCCATTGAAGGGCAAGGCGCGCATGACGGATGCTTCCTTAAGCAGCAAAGACCAAAGAAGCATAACGGATTTTATTGACGTGGACTCGGATCGACCAAGCAAGAAGCTGAAGCTTTCATACGGTGCCATTGTGAAAGACGAGGTTAACTATCGTAAGAAGGAGGCTCTGGGAATGCTGGGCAGTGGGAGGGCTCTGGCGGACAGCTCCTCGGCAAATCGAACGCCTTCATCAACACCTACTGCCGTCGAAGGGCCTAGATCGAACTTGCTGGACCTCATTCCGGGAAATTCTTTGTCGAAACCGTCAGCTCCAAGCGATAGTTCCTGGAACTGCTTAGTATGCACTTTGTGAGTACCTCAGCCCTGAACAGGCCCCTCCTGTACCGTAGCTGATAAAGTCACTGAAGAACCAATGAGCCTGGACATCTTGCTTGTTCGGCATGTGTAACACCACGCGGTGAGAGCACCTGGTTAGGCAGCTCAATTTGACCATCATCCGGGTCTATGGCACTTTTCTATATCATACAAGGCGGATAACCATGTTACCATTGAAGCATCGTACAACACTACATCGTTCTTTAGTTCTTCAGTCAATCCAACTTTAAGATATGGTATCTTCCTTGATGACAACGTAAGTTTACTTCCAACATCTGTGAAGAGATTTAGTCCAGCATCAGCGTCGAGGGACTATAGGAGAGACGTACAAGATCTTGTAGTTCTCTCGGAAAACGTGCTCCCCTCCGCCAAAAGCGACATTGCATCCACCCTGTGCACAGCCCTCAGCGGCAGCCACAGGAAACGTTGACTCTAGCACTCACCAGATGTTCACCCGTCTTCCCGGGGACCTCAACACCGCTGACCTGCGCAAGGGCGTGGTACAGCTTGGCGCCGTGCTCCTCGTATCCTCCCTCTACGGGCCTCTTGCCGGGCGGAATCCGCCCATGGGACGTGACCAGCCACTCCATCGTGTTCGGGTCGAACGGGAGGAGATCGAAGCGGCCGTGGTGCTCGAACTCGGTGCCCGCGTACGGGACGCGGCAGGGCGGGTTCAGCGCGGCGGCGATCTTGCACGGGTGCACGGACTTCTCGAACAGCGCGGAGCCGAGGAAGATCGGGCTGTGGTCGATGTCGTATGCGACCGGGCTCCCCGCCTGCTGGGGGCTAGGGAACGGCGCGCCGCTCGTCAGCGGCACACGGAAACCCGAGGGCGGGGGCGAGCCGTGCTGCAGCGCGGGCGCAGGCGATGCACCAGCATGATGCTGGGAGTTCGGGAGGCCTGGGGTGAAGCCCCGCTCATGGACCTTCTCGTCTGGGAACCCGGGTGAGTGAGATGGGAAAGCAGGAGCCTCGTTCGGGTGCTCTGGGAAGCCGGGCGAGTGAGAGGGGAAGCTGGGCGAGTGAGAGGGGAAACCAGGCGGCGGGCCAGTAGGTGGAGCGAAGCTCGCCTGGTCGTGGAACTGCGCATTCGGGGAGTCGGGCATAGCGGGGAACTCACGGTTTTCGTAACCGTAAGGGTGGAGAGGGCCAGAGGGAAATCCGGGGCCAGACATGATGGCAGTAGAGTACGGAGGAGGCTGAGAGCTTAACTGAGTGCCGCGATGATCACCACTGAGGACGCCCGCAGAGGGAATTTCGGCTGCAGAAGACGTTTCACCATGCCCCTTCTTGTTTTTCCCATCCTTTTTGTTACGACTACGGCCAGTGCCCTTGCTGGATGAAGAATTCGAGGACGAGGAAGAAGAGGTGCTGCGCCGTCGGTTTAGCCAAGGCATCGTATGTGCACAGGGCCAAAACTTGGGAGATCACGGGGGACGGTCAGGAGGACTACGGGTTTGGGCGTCGCGATTTCGTGTAGATTTGACAACGAGCACAAGGTCGGAGTACGAGGCAAGGCCAGAGGCTGTGCTTGCACCGTGCGCCACATTCGGCAGGCCTCTCTATCACAACTGGCAGCTAGACGCTTGGTCCACGGGACTGCTTTTCTTATCCCACAACATCTCTGGGCCCAGGACCCTCATGCAGAAGTGTAGAGATAGCTTTGTTACGATGTAATTACGTGTACAGACAACACAGCAAGGGTCAGAATTGACCGGGTGGCACGGTATTGGTCATCATCTGGACCGCTTTGAAGCTGTGGCCTTCTTGGCAGAGGGTGGTGGCGGTGGCAACTCAGCAACCTCCCACTCGTCTGAATCAGGAGGAGGAAGATTGACAAACTTGCTTGGAGGACGACTTGGTCCCCGTGGCGGCCGGTGTGTAGTGGTCCTTGCTTCACTCTGTACTGCAGCCGGAGGTGGTGCAGCTGTGCCAGGGAAGGATGATCGAGAAGCGGGATCTTCGGGGGGAGGTGGTGCCATCGAAGCGGCTTGAGCAGAAATGTCTCGCTCTGATGCTGCTTGCTCAGCCGCCGGAACAGGCAAAGGCTCTGCAGAGTCTTCCAGGGACATCGACCGCAGCGAGCTAAGAAGCAGGCTTGTAGAAATCAGCACACGAGAAGATCCATGAGGCAGCCGGCAGGTGAGACGTACTGCATTTCATTTCGACGGTGATTGCACCACTCAATGCAATCCTGCTTCAATCGCCCTAGTATGTCGCTGATATCATTGTAGAACTACCGTATGATGTATCAGCTCGGGGACGTAATATGTCTTCCAAGCAGAGCTCACCTTCAGTCCTTCGTCCAAGTTCCGTGTAATCTCCTTGTACTTGTGATATGCGAGGTCCAAGGACTGCAGTGCATGCTCTCGCTCCTTGACAGATGGATCATCCTTCCGACACTGCAAGAACAGATCATTGCGCTCCTAGACAACGACGCGTGAACCCTGGCGACTGAAGATGTGCAACAGCCATGACACAGACCTTGATAGAATCGAGGGTCCGCCCCTGCTTCTGCTCGCTCCCCTCGATCTCAGCCCTGAACTTCTCGTACTTGGCCAGCTCTTCGTCCAGAACGTCTTCGAACATCGACGGCTGCACTTCGACCCAGCGTTCGACCGCGGCGGCGGCCTTGAGGATGCGCGGCGCGATGTCTTCGGACTCTGAGAGTCTCGTGGCCCGGGTGACCACCTGTGCGCAGGAACGCTGCAGGTCATCCAGAGTCTCGAGCAGGACGCGCAGCTGTCTCGCATGCCCCTGCGTGGGATTGGGGTTCCTGGCGTTGGGTTTGTTCGCCGGTAGCGGCGCCGTCGACGAGGGTACCGCCCGCTCGAGTTCATCCTAACCGCAAAAGAGAGGCAGTGTGATCAGCGCCGTGACGGGCGACATGCATGGTTCGGGGCCCCACATTGCTCCAGGTAAGTTGCGTGATGAAGCGCTCCCATTGTTCCCACTTCTCGCGCACGATCGCGTCGCTTTGCATCCCGCCGTCGAGGATCCCCTTGTACCGCTGTGCTTTCGCCACGAGGGCCTGGTTCGCCTCCGACGACGGGGCGCGCACAGCAGGAGCCTCGGCCTGGAAGACCTCGTCTTCCTCTGCTTCTTGATCTAAGATGTCAAATGCCTGAGCACACATGCCACCCCTTCAGCTTCTCTCGGACTTCCGGTGTTGATCGTACATACCTCGTTCAGGAGATCCATATTCCTCTCTGCAAGCTTCTGCACGTTCTCAATTGAGGCTTCTATCTTGGATGGACCGTCTTCCCGCCTGACTTCCTCCGCCTTCCCGAGGAGGCTCGGTGGGAGACCGACGGGCTTTTCGAGAGCCTCGAGCGCAGCGGGAAGGCCCAAAGACCCGAGCACGCTGTCGCGGAGGTATTAGCGGCGGGATCAGGTCGCGAGGCGGTGGGTAGATGCGATACGTGGCCAAGGGTCCCGTACGAACCTTGTACAGTCATCGTCCAAACGCCGCGCGCGGTCAACAACTTCTTCATCGACCCAGTTTTTACGACGATCGTGGTAAATCTCTTCGGGTCACTCGGTCAGCGCAGGCGGGCATCAGCCATGATGTGGAACATACCAATGGCGAGCTTGGCCCCGTGGCTGAGAAGTTCACCAAAAATCACAGCATCTTCAGGGATGGCCGTCTTGGGGTCCGCAAGGGTTCCAGCAATGATTGGCTGGACCATCGAGACTTCCGCGATGGGCGGCAGTAATGCTGCGGAGGGTACTACTTGATGATAGATCAAGTCATTGTCCCGCTCCGAAGTCCTCAGCGTTGTCTGCACGGTATTTAGGAGCGACTTCCGGATATGTGAGTTAGAGGGGGAAATGGGATATTCGCCAGAAGGTGCCGCGCGAACCTTAATATCCTGCCGAACCGCTTCGTTAACATCGCTCCTGCGCGCAAGATCATGCCCCTTCTTCACAATAGCTAGAGCTTGGGTCAGTCGGCCGACCTCCTCGCCGTATCTGACAGACCATTGAGGGTGAGAATCTGACCCGTAAATGAAATTACGGCATCATACCTTCCGGCCGCGTTGTCATCGAGGCTCTTCCTGTACTGCGAAACACCTTCGAAATGGCTCGCCTTGATCTCTACATGCGCTAACCAACTCTGCAGCGATGATATTTCACGTCAACGATCGTCGACGTAGCACGAGAACGGGGACGTACTGCCGGGAACAGATGCATGACAGCTGGCGATGCTTCTCGAATTGTTTGCAATGTTGAACGATAGAAAGAAGCAGCCTAGATGTAAGAGTAAGCCTTCTTCCTTCGGGAAAGAGACGGTAGATGCTTTGGCTCACCTTAGCAGCCAATTTGGCAATGACGCCGTTTTTCAGATTGTCTATTCAAAGCCGCTGTGAGACAGATCTTCTAAGCAACGCAAAACGCACCTATCACCGCGCGTTGCCAGACACCTTCTTGTGCCTGGGCGAGCATGAGGTTCTCGAGAGCACTGAGAAATGGAGCAGAGAACTCCAGAATTGTCTCATTGTCTGCGACAGATGCCTCGAGCTTCTGGGCTGCAGACGTCGACAAATGGCTCAAAGTTCCCGCTGCACTCTGCGGAAATGTCAACTTGTCGCTAGCCGAAGCGGGTCCGATCGGGAGGAAGAACCAACCTGAAAATATGCGACCGTGCGTTTGAGGCCATCTGCCGTGGAGCGGTCCTCTCTGTGAGCCAGCTGAGAATACAGCGCGGCAAGGTTGAATAACACTGCGGCCCTCTCGTAAGCCAGGTTCCGCAAAGTGATCGGGGGCCCATCGGGACTGAATAGTGGGGTGTAAGGGATATCGAGTCCGATCTGTGAGACACGATGTGAGCACCGCCTCTTCGAGGGCGATCGGGGTGAGAGACCCACGTCGACAGGCAACTTTGTCAGAATGAAGACCAGCTGTGCGTGATAGCTGATTCAATCCGTCAAATCCGAGCCAGTGATGCAGCAGCGATGCTCACCCGAGGGATACCTTTACGTGGTCTACGTGGACAGTGCGGTCGACGGCCTGCTTTCGCAGGGTCCCCCACTGGTTGATGTCCCATTTGAAGGCATCTGGATGGACATCAGAGTGGTTGGCGAGGATGTATTCCCGGACAGTCTGCCGGATAGGCACGTTGTGTGTCCTCTTGAAAGGAATCTCGAGCAAGTTGGGCATCTACCACAGCCTTTATCTTGGCGGGTCCTGTGGTTCGGAAACTAGTGTCCTCAAGGAGCAAGTCAGTCATGTAGTCGCGCCTCCGCTAGCCCCGAGCTCTCTCTCACATTTACGCACAAACGAATCCACGTCGGAGTCTGGAGAGCAACAAACGCCGGTGCCGAGGCTAGTGAGAGCGCCCATTGGACTGAATATGGTAGTAGGTCTTTCCCTCTCGGGCAAGGTGTTAGGGGCAGTCGGTGACTCAGGGTCAGCGGGGTCATCTGCGTTACTACGGGTCTGACGCCTGGCTGTGGCTTGCATTCGCTATACGAGAGGACTGTACACGGGATGATCATCCCTAGCCGACTCTGGAAGCACAAGTCCGTCCCAGACATAAAAGCTACAGGTGTGGCTGCCCTCTGCTTCTCACCGTCTCTACCTCAACCGTCACCATACTCACACCATGGGCCGCATGGACGATGTTGTCTCCTCACGCGCTAGTGCCCCCCAGGTGGCTAGATTACCCGTAACAAACCCGTCGGTCACGGATGGGTCCGCGGTGACGCCGCCAGTGAGTGCCTTCGTCCTCGAAAGCACGATGTAAGACAGGTGCTGACCACCTCCGTCAGTCGTATGACACGAGCAGCCGCCGCGACGCTAAACCTACGGCTACAGCACCTCAGGTACCGCGCTCTCAGACATATGTACGTCGCCAGACTTTTCCTTCAGCTTGCACTATCATGTCTCGTCGTGCGTCTGCAGACTGGGGTACTTGATTCTGTGACAGAGGATTGAATGCACAAGTACTGACACGCCTTACGCAGAACCAGTCCAAAGTTTAGGTCTCCGGCGTCATCGACCAAGAGGTTAGCACCCCTGCCGATTGCTTCACATGAAGAAGGCGTTGAGTTAGCTATCCGCAGGTGACACGGCCGAACGAGATCGCCTGTTACGCTGTGAAATTCGACGACGGTGGCATACAGAGCATCGGAAACTTTGATGTGCACTATTTGAGCAAGCTGGTGTTATCGCGCGGGCGCCTGTGTTACGCAAGAGATAGCGGCTTACCGTCTGTGATGGACAGTATTCTGGGGGTGTTCCAGCGTCAGCGGCCCATAGAATATCTGTAAAAACATGCTGAAATTCCGAGAATACGTAGAAATCGTGAGATCCCCGTTTCTGCCTGTGAAGGTCTCAGTCGCCCTTCCTTGTGTGCCTGACCAGTCGCGTAGCCGGCGCCAGGCTCTTGGTTGAACAGGCGCCGATTGAAAACTGGACATTCCTTATAAGGTAGTCGATTGAGATTGAACGGAAGATAAGTATCTTTGCGCTTGGGGTACTTAGGCATGACGGATGCCTGACAACCAACCTTAGATATTCATATTTCTGGCGGAAGAAAGTCAGCAAGCCGATGGCATATATATAACAGCTTACAGCTCTCACCAAAGCCCCTTAGCCGGTAAGATGCTACGATCCGTCGACTCTCAACAGACCGGCGGCGGTACCCACGCACGCACGCAATATGTAAGTGCTTTCACCACTGTACGGCATACCTGGCACTCATGAGAGACACAGGGCAAGGTGAGTCGCACCAAATGCCGGGCACAGGTGACCCACCGCCCTTGACTCGCAGGGCGACCAAGTCGAAGTGAGGATTGACGCAAACGTCTGGGTGGTCGGCATGATTGTTACGGTTCTCCACGTCGCAAACAGGGTCGGTATACTCAGCAGCCTTTTCCGCAGCGCCGATGCTCACGCCGCGGACACAGCTCTTCGGGGCTCAGTACGAAGTGAGCTACAGGTCCCCCCGCGGAGGCAGGCAGCTCAAGCGCACTTTCGACATCGATCAAGTGCGACCGCGGGCAGCAGGCCATGGCGGCTAGATCCCGGCCATCGGAGCACCCGTAAAACCGGCAGGAAGCTCGTCGTAGTACGCATGAAGCCGCGATTCGAATGCACTTCTTTTTCGTGATTCCTGATGCGTGATATCGCCGGTGTGAGCAATGTACGGGCGACGGCGTGCACCGGGCCAGTGAGAAGCAGAGGCACAAAGTGAGAGCGAGGCTTGAGCACAGGCTTTCCACCCCCCGCTCTGCCGCGGGGAGCCGCCCCGGGGTAGCCAATAACCATGCCTCTGACGTAGGGATCCTAGGAAGTCGCGGAGACGCGCTGACGTGAAAGCCCCGCCATGCAACCAGGGTGTGTCGAGCCTTCCTCTCCCAGAACGGAAAACCTTGTCGTGGTGAATGTCTGCATCGCAGACCGCAGTCGGTATGATGAGAAACGTCTGCGGTAATGCCCGTAGATTCACCTCACGCGTCGTGACCACCGCGGACATTGCACGGCTCGGGACATGAGAATCCGAAACACGGCCCTTGTCAGCAGCGGCAGCTAGGGTCCCTGTCTTGTCCGCGCCGGACGATTCATGACCGGGCTGCGAAGTGCCGCGTGGAGAACCTTATATGTGTGGAGCCCTGGATGAACAGAAACGGGTCCGTTTCCGTGATGACAAGCCTCAAGTCCCAAGACGGCCACTTGAAAGAGCGCAGGATACGTGTACTACCTTGACTACAGGACTAGGTGCCTGCGCTAAGTCCTAAGCCCTGCCGAACACGGTCGGGCCAACAACATGACGTTGACTAAGGATACAGTGCGTGAGATTGTGCTGAGTATAGTGTACATGCTATGCCTGACGAGATTTGAGTAAGCAAGGGGACAGTTGACCCGCGGGTAAAAACGTACCAGGTAATTATAGGATTTACGGTCTTCGCATCTTTCAAGATATTCTCGCTAAAGACAGGTCAAGCGCGCGCCAAATGGTATGAAAGCGCGAAACGTACCTCAATCAGACCCTCTATTCGCTTCTTGACCATGAGGGGGTTTGGCTGGAAGCGACTAGCCAGCTGGCGGGTCACTTCGTTCACCAAGTCGTTATGGCCCATATGTTTGCGATCCTTCATGATGCGAACGATGCAGGCCTACATGCAAACATCAGGAAGGCTATGGAACGGGATACCCACCAAAGACTCACCTCCATCTGGTGTTTTCGGTCCTCGTCAACCCGGTCCCTGGTTTCTCTTCTCTCCTCATTGCTCTCCACCCGCGACGCGACGGTGCTGATCTTGATCTTTTGCAGCGGCGCCGAGAAGTCGGAATTGAAGGCGAACGAGTCTGTAGGGTTCACGTCGCGGCCAGCCGGGTGCTTCTTCAGGACTTTAAATTTGCCGCACGCTAGGGTCTGTAGGTTGCGCTGGAGCTCCACGTCCGGGATGGCGGTTGCCGTTTTGATTTCCTGGAGATAACTGATAAGCTCGCGCCAGCAGCGCTTTTGAAGTTCAACTCACGTCGTAAGTCAAGATCTCGCCGTCGGCGACGTCTTCGAAGAGAAGCAAGACGGTCAAGGCGAATGTCGAGACGTTTAACTCATGTGTCCGCGCCTTAAATCGCACTTTCACGTCAGCGTTGCCCAGTGAAGGCTGCCACGTAAGTCTTCTCCCGGAGTGTCGCGACAGGTAGAAATTTTCAAACGACTTGGACGCCGTCAAGAGCTCCTCCGGAAGGTTGCATGATGCCGCCGAATAGGACATTGGCCAGAAGGTCGATGTCATGACTATAACCGATATGTCGACATCCGGCGGCTAGATGGCCGGTTCAGTCACAGGCAAAGAGATCGCTTTAACGGAACGCACCGTCGTTTTTGAAAGATGATCTTGGTAAGCTTCCATGGTGTCGGATGATATCCGCATGTCGTGGAACATGCCTTCCAGTTTCTGCGTAAACTGATATCCACACTCAACCTTGAGCTTAGCCAGCATTCCACGTTCGGCGTCGTCCGACACGGAGCGACCAAGAAGTAGTCGTTTGGCCAAGTGACCCTTATAATATCGCTCGAAGACATCTTTGTCGGTGAGATACCTGAAGACCATGATGGTCTTGTCCAGGACGGCGTCAACTTCCTCGTCACTTTTCTACGGCGTTGCGGATCATCAGCGTTACGGTAAGCTACAAAACGAAATGACATACCCCCTTCAAACCTTTCTTCAGGTTCTCGTCAATGAATAACGATATAAATTCAGGAGACTTCTCGTGGGAATTTATGAACGTTTCGAAAGCCTGGAAGGCGGGGTTAGTCTTGCCAAAGGTGTCGAATAAGCGCATATACCTCATTTATTCCGGTCTCGATCTCGCGGTCGTTGCGGAACGCCTGTACCCAGAGGGCGTCGAACTTGTCCTTCATATTTAGGACGTCTTGTACCCATTTCAGGGCCAGCTGAAGTGTTTGTGCGCCAGAGCCGGCACCAGCGGCCTTTGATTTGCCCTTACCCTTGAAGTCTTCGGCTTCATCGTCTCCTCCTACATCCGCATCCGCTGTGGTATTCACAACAGCAAGCTCTTTACCTCGCCGTACCACAGAATCGCGAAGCGCTCGCCGTAAAGCGGGCAGTCCAGTGGGTACCATGGTGAAAAGCCGATATAGTCGTGACAGGTCCTCTTTCTTGTCGGCATCAATCATGACATCTAAGCCAGAATTTGGCATAGACAAGATAGTGGACAGATGAGCGGTGAGAAGGTGATTCTCAAGAATCTTTCGCAGAGAACCATAAGTATGAGAAGACAGATAGTGGTGTGTTCGCGACTCTTCCGCGTAGAAGCGCTCTTCCACCTGCAAGACATGAGCTATATACAAATGTATGGTTTAAACCTCACTCACCCTCCGTAGATACTCTGGTGCGTCGCAAGTTCCCAAGAGATGTTGCCCTTCGGCCTTGTAGAATGATTCGCTTTCACGGAGTATGGGCGGCTCCATAATCCGCGAGTACATGTCCGAGGTGTCGGGAGACTCGCGGAGCTGCAAAAGGATGTCCACACACCCTTTCACGGCAGATCGATTGATGCCGAAGCCATTTCTCTCCGTCAATATCTGGGTCAAGACGGCTGCTGTGAGATGATCTTGTATTGGAGGACGGATGATATGTCGTATGAATAACAAGAGTCCTTGATCCCAGATTTCTGGAACGACGGCCGATTTCGTGTATACACGGTCCTACAGAAAGGTAAGGATAGTCGGAGGATGACAAGGCGGCACATACCATGTACTTGAGGACATCACGCAGCTTCGACAAACTAGACGTATGATCATCCCACACCTTGCGCACCGCCTTTAAAAGCACTTCACCCTCCTGACTACGTTGGATAGGGTCTCCCGTACCGCTCGGAAACGCCGGCTCGATGTCTTGCTTCGCGAGCTTCTCGAGATTAGAGACAATGAGTTCGCAGGTGCCATCGTACAGCCGCTCTCCATTCTTCATAAGCACCATGTTGTATGCGTAGCGATGATTCTCTTCGTAGGAGAGGTTTCCCGCACGGTGGTTCTGGATCTCAATCATGTTCGCCCTAAGCTTTGTCCAGGTTTCGTCGATCGAGACCGTTGGGCCATGCTTGAGAGTAATTTAGCACTCGGTAGTGGTCTGAGAGCAGATAGGTACCTTCTTCGGTGGTTTCTACAATCAAAAGGTCAACACTCCGACGTATTTTATGGCGAATGTCCAGTCAAGTGCTCACGATTTTGGCCTTGCCTTTTGGTCGCGGAACTCAAGGAAGCAAGCGCGGATCAGCCACTCAAGCTACAGCTCCATTGGCTGCATAAACTCACTTGTGGCCATCCTTCGAGTTCACAACTCTTGCATACACTGAAATAAGGGGAGTATCGACCGCTAAGGGTCAGCGATGGACGTGCTATGGTAAGTTGCGAAGCGCCCATAGTAATGTACGCGAAGCTTAAACCGTACTTATGCCTGAGCGCTGAGCTTCCCTGGGCTTATGTTCAACACGCACAAAGTTAAGATTGAGTATTGACGACCAATGCCAATATAGCGAAGTAGGAATATTCTTCAAATCTTCAGGTAAGTTTGTAAAAATTACTTCGGTAATTGCACAACAGCTTGTAGGGTGTATACGAGCAGCACGAATAAGAGAACTAAGTAGTATGCGACTTGTGGAAGGGTTAGAATGTAGCGAAGGGTTCTACCATAAGCATGTGGTGTGATTTAATTACGAACGTGAAGCACGAATGGTATCCGCAAGGTACTTTTTGAAAGTTTTGCTGTCAAGCTCTCTGAGCTTCGTGGCAAACTCCTGCGCAGCCCCCGGTGGCCAGCCCTGGGCAGGCAGAAAAACTTGAGTGAAGAAATCGAAAGATTCTTGGCCTCTCGCTTTTGAGACTGCGGACAAGAAATTGCAAATCTCATGGAGAACCTAGGAGCAAGCAAGGTCAGAACGGCGTAGAACGACAGGCAAGGACAATACTTACCACCAACATCTGCCCGTCCTTGATGTTGAACTGGGGAGACGCCAAAACGGAGAAAGCGGATGGAATAAGTCGCTCGTACACATATTGCTCAAAGCCGGGCAAAGCCTGAGACCGGCCATTGGCTTGACCATTCGCTCCGGGAATCGGCTCAAGCCAGGCCAGAACGCAGCGGCCCAGGAACTGGAACGCCGCTCTCTGGCTAGCGGGGTCATTGACATCCTCAGCAAATCGTTGCATGGAAGTGAATAGGCCCTCCAGCTGAGCACCATTGCCTGGCGAGTTCAAGCATTAGCCAAAAAAAAGTAAAACGTATGAGCAGATTTACGCACGTTCTGATGTGAAGATGCCGTGAAGCTGTGAAGTCATGACATTGTTCAGCAGCGTTAGGTAGGCTTTCCTCGTATCGCTGTGAGCGACCTGGTCATCAGTTCCTGTAACTGGTTGGGCCAGTAGACCGTTGATGTGGACGCCCAGGGGACCGATGAGCTGGTCTAGAACATCGAACAAATCTCGCTGTAAAAAGTGTAAGTACCGGACGAATCGAGATCGGAGATTGGCCGTACTTGTAGTCTATGCATCAATAGACCAATGAAGGTCATGAAATCGATCAACTCCGTTGGTTCGAAGTGGGTAAGAAGGTTGGCCATGAGTGGCGGGACCAGTTGAGTGATGTTGGGCCCTGTGGTGGCGAGAATACGCGTGAAGGCGTTCCGAGTCTGGGCAAGAGTCAAAAGACATTCAATACAAAGCGATGGCTCTACGTACTGCATCCCGGATAGCCCTGTAAGTGCTGAGCGATTCGAGACAAACCAAGACCGCTTGGGCGATTTGAGTAAAGATGTTCACCGGAGGAAGGAGGTATCCCTCTGGAACAGGCGAAGGGTAGTCAGGAAAGCCTTTAGCGATATTTCCTAAAGCCATGATGTTGTGGTGGACCTTCAGAATGGCAAGAGGCTCCTTCGATCCTTTAGCGGCTAACAAATCGCGTGACAGTTCGTCCAGAAGCGGCGTGACAATTGAAGACAGTAGCGTTGTGCGCTGCTCAGGCGTCTTATGGAAGAGCGAAACCAAGGTGCCAACAGTCTCGAAAAGATACAGCTGCGCGTCGAAGATACCAGGGTTCTTGATTGCCTCCTCAAGTAGGTCTTGTTCAGGACTCTCCAGTTCTGGCAATTCCACTTGAATCGTCAACAGATCGCGGATGCTCTGAATGAGTGTTCCTGCAAGGTCGACAGAGATCTCATTGCGATCCTCCTTGATGAACCTGTGAAATAAATAGAATACACGCGAGCGTAGCCTGGACTCCGGGTTGTGTAGCCCTCTGTGAAGGTGTTAGTCACCAACATGGCGTTTAAGCCTGGCTCACATACCGTGGACCGACCATCGATTGCAGGGCGGGAACGATACAGTCCTTGCGGACCTTGAAGAAATCGCCATAACGCGCTGTAGTCTCGAAGAACTGCATGTTAACGGTCTTGTGCTGGTGCTCCGCAATACCGGATTGTACCAGCGCATACAGCATCTCGCCATGTCTCGTGAGAGGGTAACCGGAGTAATCTGTCTCCTTCCGCTTGTCCTTAGCAATATCCGCAGGAGTAATGCAGAAGGCACCACGACCCTTCGTGCCGGCTGAATCGGCGTTAAAAACAAGGTTATTACAGAACCATCAGCAGGGCTTACTCTTATTGATCTCGCCGAAGATGAACACCATGTAGACGGCCAACTCCGCGTCATTCCATTCCACTGGAATACCACTCTGATAAGTGTTCAGAGTGCTAAGCGCTAGATTGCTGAGGGCCTCAGACACTAGGCCAGGCTCGATGACGAAAGCAGCATCCATAAAGGTCCGTAGATCCTGTACGATTTGTCAGTACGCCGGTGCATATAAGAGATAGTCCTGCCGACCTTCCGCAAGTCCTCGAACGCTATCTTGTCATCTTCATCCATGTCTTCTGGATCGGCTTCTACATCCCACTTCAACTTCTGCAGGACGACCTGTAGAAGCGAGGCAAGGAAACCGCGTTTGGCATCATCCAGAGGCTCCGTGGTGGACTTCCGTAGGCGTTTGTACTAGAGCTGTGTCAGTAATGTGCTAGATAAGAACGGAGGATAGTCATACACTGCCAAGTATCGCCTGTAAGAAGGGAAACACCGTAGAGCATGTGTCGTCGTATTCGTCTGCCATGAAGCGTAGGAGCACGGGAAGACACTGGCTCAATAGCTGACTGGCTTCCGCTCGGATGTCTTCTGTCGGGAATTCCTGTTCACGGGACTTAATACTGGCTCTCACCACGAGACACGACTCAGAACGTACATCGACAAGCTTGCTCAACTCTAGACCCAAGACATTCAGAAGGCGGCCGAGGGCTTCACGGTAGGACTCCTCGCCTTCGTCGATATCTGACCCTCTGCTGGCTTGTTCCCCACGGGTTTTCGTTTCCAACGCGTCGAGAACCTGGCCAAGAGATAGCACCTTAATTAGCTGCAGCTTATCAGCCGGTTCTTTCAGGCCCTTGGCAACAATACGGGTAATAGCACCACACGTAGCTAGACGGATCGGCAAAGACGCGTCCGATAGCAGGTTAAAGAGCAGGGGAACAGTTGTAGGTGTTACGGTGAGGTTAATATCGATCCATCCTGAGGGAATGTCAGATGTACAGCCGTCGCCAAAGACGTAAGATCACGCACCAACATACGAAGTAAATGTCCTCATCCCCCAGTCTACCACTTCAGTAGCAGTATCCAACTCCTTTTCTGAGCCTGCAGGATCGCCTTTTCGTAGCCGATTCATCCTCCCAACGCCGTCAGCAACGATCGTGAGGACTGCTCCATTGATCGCTGCAGCATCTCGTTCTCGAACAGCGTCCCGTACTCTTGTATCGCGCGCATGTCGTACTTGACTGAAAGTACGTGCAGACTTGATCATCTGATCGGCGACTTCTCCGGAGATTTCGAGGACCAAGTGGAAGAACAGCAAGGAGACATGGGGATTGAAGGTGGATTGTGAAGTTGACTCTGGCGGGCGAATGAGTGTGAAGAGGTCGGCGAAGAAGGATGGCCACTGCTCAAGGTAGGTGACCAGGAAAAAGAGGGTGAGTGTATGTGAGAACTTGTTGCGGATATCTGACAGACAGACGTTCCTCAGTGGATAAAGATATGCTATGGTCACGGAAAGTCTTACATGCAGCACTGGACTCTGCAGGGCCATACAGATATTCGGATTGAATGTATGAGACGAGTGCTTGCCTGAGGACCTGGAACGACTCATTATCCAGAGGTTCAAATCTACGGTGATATAGAGGGTTGTAGTCGGTAAGGAAATAACTCTGAGGGGATAATTGTGACGCACCTATTGTCCAGGAAGTCCTCCAGCACGCGCAGAGCAAAGAACCTGGCCGGCGCGGGGTATTTTCGACTGCCATCCGACCCAGTGTCCACAAAGAGTGCAAGTGCGGACCTCCATGTCTCTGCCGAGTTCTGCTGTATCGTCGAGAGGTATTCCAACGCCTGATTGTGCAACGCGCCCTGTGAGGGGTCGGAGGCAATTAGTATTGCTTGTACAAGCTGGTTAAGCTCCTGTTCCATCGCAGCGATAGTAGGGCGAGCGCGGACCGCAGCTTCGTCAAATTTCTACAGATGCCGTGGAACGAGCGCGTTTGCAGAATGGGTTGGCCTGTGGCACAACCAGCGGTGGAGGATGACGGTCCGGGGTCAAGGTGAAGGCCTCAAGTACATGACTCTCTTAACTTTTGGTCGTGTGCACGTGGTTGAACCGCGAACGGATGTGAAGCGCAGCCGCCGGCTTGACAGTCTAGCGCACACCGTGCCCGGAAAATTAGACGTCACACAACGTAATTACAGGCGTGTGTAATATGAGGCGTTCAGCATTCAAAGTAAAGTTCTCCTGTATATCAAGGTTACAGTATCTGGACGGTATCGTCGGGCCCAAAGCGTAATGACCAGTGCATAGGAAAAGTGAACGAGTCGGAGATGGCGATATATATGGGGCAATGACCAGCTCTCACGGCAGCCTATCCATCCCTGATTCTGATAATCATCATGTTTGACCACACAAAAGGCGAACGCGGCGAGAGGTGACAACAGATCGGCCGGAGCGGGAAAGCAGCAGCAAGGAAGTCGGCACACGTTCCGGAATGTCTTCACCCGAGTCCCATGTCGCGTGAGGATAGGAAGACGGGATATTGCTGTTTTTGAGGAAAAGGGGACAATGGCGACTGCATTACCCATGTCACGAAAAATCGACAATCTGTAAGCTGCTGTCCCATAAGCCCAAACACAGTCGACAAGTGGCCTCGTCGAAAGCGAGCGAATGGCATGCGTCGGTGGAGAAGGGCAAAGGCGGATCTGCAGGTAGCAGCACGCCATGCAACAATTCCGGCGCACCGTCATGCACACCACCCAACTCGAGTTTCATGAGTCGCGTCCGCGTTGTGTCGAGGTTGTGTTCCACCCACACCGCTCGGCGGCCGGTGGTACCAATGCTAACAGAGCGAATCGATGTGTCGAGTGGAAGCGGCACCCGCGCGCTGGTAACCTTAGACTCAGAATGAGCCCTTATGCCGTCCAGAGGAAAGCGGACGACGTGGGCATTCGGCTGCGTGGAATCGGCTTCGTTGAAGACTATGATGGTGAAGAAGTTCACGGAAACGGACGGGATGTGGACAGTGTCCATGAGACTACTGCCGAGCGGGTACGAGTAATGTTCGTGCAGCTTGCCCCATGTCACATCTTCACCTTCCAGCCCCAGGCCGTGTCTTGTTTGCAGCCAGCATGGTAGGTCATAAATGCGGACGACGAAGTCTTGGCGGGAGTATCCGAACACGACCATGCGGTTATTCTGTAGCCTGGCTTGCGGAAGAGGGATTGGTTGGTCGGGACCCTTGCGCATCCATCGTGAACATCCTGCATCCGTGTTCGCGACCAACATGCGAGTCGATATTTCTTGATCGGGTATGATCAGAGCTACAGTTGCAGCCAATTGGCCGTCCCAAACAGACATGCCTTCGATGAGGGCAGTTGCACGAATATCGACCGGCAAAGGCGGCAAGTCCAATCGGCGAGACACGACCATCGAGGGCAGGGGGGACATCGGGTCAAGTGCATTCATGGTCTCGTCTATCGATATAGAGCGAACTTGCATGAAGCTAAAGAGCCATGAGACATTACAAATTGATAGTCGTGGTCGAACACTCACTCCTGCGAACCGCCATCGTTCAATGCTACGACGATCGTAACGAGGCTTTCGCCATCTCGCAGAGCGACGGCAGAACCCCTATGTTTCCCCGTAAACTCAAACATGACGACACATCGCGGGTGGTCGATATCTGATAGGTTCCAGAATGCTACACGGGTGTAGTTGCGATGCTCGAAGCGACGAAGACCTCCTTGGACGACCAATAGCCATCGGCCGCCCGGGACGAACTGCAAGAACTCAAAAAGCGCATCACTGGCCACTGGCAGTGACGTCGTGCGCTTGATCCCCGAGGAGGGACGCCTCCAATTGAGCTGCAAGCGGATGGCTTTGACTGCGAGGCGCTGCAGCTCGTCCGATGAGAGCTGGGTGCTCGGTATATCCACGGGGACGTCGAGCGGCAAGTCAGACCGCTCGGTTAACCTGTGCCAGAGATAATCTGCGCTTCCGAAGGCGTGCAAACCACGGCATGTCTGCGTGTAGCGTCGTCAGTGCGGCGTGTCCGCAGTACCCGTGCGAGTGTCCGCATGGCGTACCTGCTTGAGTGCTAATACGTCCTGGATAGCAAGATAGGAGTAAACGAGTAGCAGCACATCGTCTGGCAGTTCAGCTAAACCCATGTTGGTGGTGGTATGATACAAAGGCAGTAGAAAACGTCCATCTTCATGCTCTCGACCTCCCGGCTACTTGGGAGCACGAGTCAGATAAATAATTCGGAACCCCGGTCACCGACATCAGGCGCCCATTTGTGGGAGGCCTCATATAGCGCGCTCGCCCCTTTCAACATCCCTTCGACTTGTCCCTCGACAATCGATATGGACCTCAGAGAACGTACTCATTCTAATCTCTCGGAGTTGGAGAGTTTATCCGACTCGGATTGGCTCGATATTGCCAGCAGCAGAACCTCAGAGGACGGCGATTCCGTTGTGGGGTTCGACGACAGCGATCGCGAAGATGTCGAGGGTCGGCCGTTCTCAAGACACTCATTCAGTAGCCTTGCAAGCTCGACCGACGAGGTTGTAGAGGGTTGGGAGGGACTAATCGACGACAGTGCAGATGAACCTCTCTCCGTAGTCGCAGAGCAGCCTGCTGATTACGTTTTCACCACCGCGGACGGCGAGCATAAGGTCCGAGCCCCCTCTCCTGAGGGAGAAGAGGACCCAGAGGACGAACGCGTCAAAGCCGCCCTGGACCAGAGCATGATGAGCACCTTGAGCTCGTCGCGATCGAGCTCTCTAGCCAACTCCGTGCAGACCTCGATCGTCCATTCCACTCGCTCTCTGAGGCTGTCCTTCCCAGACCCTACCACTTCCAGGATTGAGTCCTTGAACAACTCCTTTGAACAGTTGTCGCCTGAGGATGCTGACCCTACCACCTCAGACGATGCCCAGGAAACCCTCAGAGGCGCCGTCGGCCCCGATGTTTGCCCTGCGCCTGAAGTCGAGGTTCCAGTGCAAGCTCCGGTGATTGGCGACGAATCCGACGCGTCTACCTTGCCCGATAACACCGTCTTCGATGTTGTCCTCTACGGCTCATCTCTCCTGTCGAAGGCGACCTTCATCGATTCGCTACTCGAGAAGTGGGCACTCGCGTCGGGCTTAATCCTAACGAAGAAAGCCTTCCATGAGCCACGCGCTGCTGTACATACTTTCAAGGGCTTCGAAGACGGATGCGCCATTGAGCGCAGCGTGTCAGTAGTCGATAAGACTGGTCTTGGTGACGTGGGTTTGCTTTCCGTTTTCTTCCTGATTGTCAATTCATCCTTCCTCAGTTTCAAGCGAGCAGCTCGAGCAATGAACGCTCTCTCGCTGTCGTGTTCCTCCCTTCTTTTTCCGAGATTCCGATACCAGATCACGCCCTTTACCTTCCGGTCATGATGACCTCAGTAGGCGAGTACCTCGGCGCGACAGATTACCTCCTTGAAGCCGAGCAGCAGTGGGATTCTCAGGGCATTCCATCCTACAAGCTTACAGGTTTTAGCCGTCAGTCTTCCCCAATCGTTGAGCAGGAGGTCGTCGAGGCTGCGACATGTGAGCAAGTCGAATATGCGCTACGTCGCCTCTCTGCACAGCCCATGAGGAAGGCGCTGCCTAAGGTGTCAGCCCATGCCATCACAATGTACGTGTCTGCAGTCTCGACGTGACTCATAATCTAACTTGTCCGCAGCATGACAATTCTGTCGATGGTCCTGGCATACATTATTAATGGAACCATGTCAGCACCGGAGACGCGTCGCTTTTCCACGTCCGCCGTCACGAATCCACTGTTGAATTTGCTGCGCCCCGACCCCACCGCGATTAATAGGTCTTTGTCTACCTCCATTCTCGCTATCACCTCTTCCAGCTCGGCACTTTCGGTGTCGTCCCTGAAGGATTTCGAGATGGCGATATTTAAGCCCGGCAGCAGCTGTGCTGACGTCGTTGTCGAATCCACTTCTCAGGACGCCCAATTTACTGCTTCCACGTCTTCTTCCGCCACTGTTGCCACGGCGACCGTCACCGATGGACCTGCTGAGTGTGAATGTGGCTGCGGTCTTGTTACCTGGCCGGCCAAGACGGAGACCACCGAGCTCATCCTTCGTCCCAGCGGTTCCGGACTTAGTATCCTTACAAACACTGTCAGTTCCATCTCCGTCGTTCCCTCCCATACTCCCGTTGTTGGCAAAGGTAAAGGCAAGGCCAGCGATCTGGACAACTCGCTCTTTGCTCTCAGCACTCGCATGGCCAACTCCCTTTCTGAGTACTTCGGCTTTTCTCCCCTTGTCCAAGCCGTTACCACGGATATTCGAGAACTCATCGCCGCCATCGACCAGCTCGCCCACGCCATCAGCCGCCATGCCGCATTCGTTCTGGGACAGTCCAAGACCGCGATCTCCGTCGTTGCCGTCGAACTGAAGCAACGGAACCAGCGTGCCAAAGACCGGGCGCGCCAGATCCGCGAGACTGGGGAGATGTGGATCTCCACCCTGAGAGAGCATCTTAAGGCTCGCTCGCAGGCGGCCAAGGAGAACGCCCATCGCCTCAAGCACCGCATGAGCGACAACCGCAAGTCCCGCGCGGCGCGCAGGGCGGAGCGCCGTCACCTCAGACAACTGAAACGAGCAGAGAAGCTGGAGAGGAAGATGGAAAGGAAAGCGGAGAGGGCCATGGCATCAGTTTGGGAGGCATAGTCGTTGACTCTTCTGTTTTCCCCGCACATCATTAGGTAGGTCGCTCTCGCTCATCAGGACTATTTATCCCTCTCCTGGAATCGTCGCGACATGTAATACGGTGGCCCTCGCACCTTCATAATCATGTTGTACAGATATCACACCACCACTATAGTATGTATGTATGTATATAAATTGTAAAACCCATACAGCAGGAGATATCGTTACGTCTACGCCATGTGTCCATCGCTAGCCAGAAGAGCAAATGTCCGGGTACAGTCTGTCCGTTGGGTCCTGGGGTATCCAGCCCCCTTGCAAGCCCCGCTGGTAGCTCCAGTCGTCCGCGTCCTCGACCTTCCACGTCCAGTACACCCAGCCCTGGACGGCCTCTCCTATGGCGACCTGGGTCTCATAGTACCTACACAGTATGTTAACCGATTTGCGCACCAGCCTGAACGACGCCCACTTACTGCCGCATGAAAGTCTTGTAATCGTCGCTGAACGTGCTCATGTCTCCCGTCCAGCCATCACAGCTCCCAAACGTCGGCTGGCCGGACTGCCACGTACCGTCCCACCGAGCCCCGACGCCGCGCCCGTTCAGCCACATCGCACAGTCGGTGGGAGCGGTTGTCCACTCGCCGATGATCGTGAAGATGTTCGAGTCGGCATATGACTGCAACTGAGTCAGGACTTGGCAGGAGTCCTGGAACGACGGTGTCGATGAGACGGATGGTGGAACAGAGACAATGAAGATACGTACGTTGATGTGCCCAGAAAAAGATAGCTCGAGCTGGTCGTAGTTGAAAACTTGGTACTCGTGCTAGCAGACGGTGAGTGAGCATGTTTAAGCAGCACTTGTGTGTAGGCGGAATGTGCTTACCGTATCCATGATCACGCCTTCCGCGGACGGATATGTTAAGAAGTTTTCCCAGCTCTGTCGTGACGCCGGTTAGCGTGGCTCGCGCAAGTGAGGGTCGACAAGCTCACATCGACTCCCAGGAACGCATCCATAATCATGACCTGAAGCCCACCACCCACCGCACCTCTGACAACCTGGTACCCCTGCTTCCAGTAATTCCCAATGACGTTTCCAATAGACGATTCGAACCCGACAGGCTCGTTCAAGAGCTCGAGAACGTCGATCATGCCGCCCAGCTGCTCCGCAATGAACTTGATGATGTCGAGCGTCCTCGGAACGTTGTCAGGGTCACTTCCCCACATTGGGTTATTCGTGCGCTGCCCGGAATTGTCGTATCCGTTCTGCGAGCCTGGAGCGCCGTGCAGATCGAGTATGACGTGCAGGCCGTTCTGTTTCGCCCAGTTCAGAGCCTGCACCAGATAGGGCCAGGCTCCAGGTATGTAAGGGCTGACGTCCGTGGTGTAGTTCGTGTCTGAGGATGTCAATGGGACGGACCAGTAGCCGACTTGCATTCTGCTGCAGTGAGCAGGCTGCTAAGGGAGGAGGATGAAGGGCAGCCTACCGGACATGATTCAGTCCTGCAGCCTTGATAGCTTGGAAGTCATCTTCTGTTATCCAAGTAGTCCAATGATCCTGTAGCATAGCTAATGCCGTGTCATGGTCTAGATTTTGTCCTAGGGTGTATTCATCTACGATGTTGGTGTTGTTGAAGCTCTCGAAGAGGCTCGGTGTTATCCATGGCTACACGATATGTGCAGTATCGCAACAGACAACACGGTGGCGAAGCGTACCTCCAGCACGAACCATCCCCCCCTACGGCCAATGAAGTCAGCTTCATGCATTTTCCTATTATACAGGGAGAATGTACAAATTTACTCCTCGTATAGGTTCTTGTCCGTAATCGAACGGGGACAAGAGTAGGGCTGGCACTCGCACTGCTTGCACTCGTTGTAGACGGTGAGCTGCCGGCTATTTGAACTCCAGACGAGGTTGGTGCTGAATGCGAGGCAGTGGGCGTGCTTGCGGAGCCTGGTACGCGCGCTACAGCGTTCGAGGGCGCAACGAGTTTGCATTGCTGTGCGCTAGTACGTCCTAGCAGAAGGAGACAGAAAGAGAGGAGTATCAGCAACATTGCGGTAGCATGGTAAGACGTGGTCAGGAAGCAAATTGTCGGAGAAGCTCACGGACGCGGCCCAGCGATAGCACGCGTAGTGATGGCGGACCGAGAGCACGAGGCCGCGGAAAGTCCGCAAAGCAGATCCCGCCAGCTGCCATCAAAGAGCGGTGACATGCCTTGTCACTGGACAGGGAGCTGCGAGCTCAGCTGAATCTCAGCGCCCACCCTGGGAGAACGTGACCGAGCATGCTCAGGAGATGTCAACGAGGGAAAATCCGCGAAAATAGGGTTGCTCTGCCAGGGTCGCTGCCGTCACTGGTGTTCCTAGATTTGCACCGAACAGAAAGCGCCACAAAGACCTTGCGGTGGTGGTTGTCGAGATCTGAGACTCAGCGGCGGCGAGCGATCCCAGGAACCGGCGCGCCACTTTTTTGATCCGCCGGCTTCCTGTTGTGGGAAGGAGGCGCGTGATCGCCGAGTCGTCCGCGCGTCTCCGGGTCGCGTGCCGATGACCTCAGCTGCGCTCTCCGCAACTGCTCCCCGGACCCGCTCTACCATCGACACGACACTCTTGCCACGACTTTCTCTGCAGCTGAATCAACTTCTACGTGCTTGTGATGTACTCTCCACGACGAACCTCCTATGGCTCTCCACCGCCGGAGCTCTCGAATAATCCTTTCATTGACCATCCCGCCAATGCCCTGACGCGATTCCCTGATATAAATGGCACCGACCAGCCTACGGGAACAAGCCAATTCACCTCTTGGATGAATCGCAGCTCTTCATCGATAAACACGAATTCCACTGGCTTCGCCGGTGCCCAGCCAAGTGGATTTACAGGGGGATACACCCAGCAACCGCAGCAGACTGGGTATCCTACCAGCCCCACCGGTGGCCACCCTCAGCAGACCGGCTTCAACGCCGGATATGGTGCGCAACAGGCGCAATCCACCGGTAGACCCTTCCAGCCAGCGAGCTCATTTGGTCAGCAGCTTGCATCGCAAGTCAATGGGGCGTACGGGCAGCAGCCCGTGCCGCAGCAGCAACAGCAGCAACAGCAGCAACAGTACTCGGGGTACCCGACCCCGCCTCAGTACGGCACTGCCTATGGATATCCCCAACAGCAACAGCCCCAGCAGACTCAGTATCTCGCCGAGTTTGACCCGTACGCGCCGCAGCAGACATCGGCGCAGGGGCAGGGTCCATCGCAGAACAAATATCAGACTCCTCATCCCCGCGATTACGTTCGAAACAACAAGCAAGGGCTGGAGTCTTGGGATTCATACGCGTGGAAGCAGGTGTGTGGCGCGTGGCCCCCACATCTGAGTAGCACTCTAAAGCCAAATTTAGGTTATGAACTGCTTCGACACGCTGAAAGACGCCTGGGCGAATCGCAAGAAGGAGCTTGAGGCGCGGATGAACGCTGTGAGCGGGCAGGGCCTCTTCGGAGGCGGTGGCTATGGCGGTGGCTATAGCTATGGAAACCAGTACGGCCGGTACGGCCAGCAGCAACAATACGCCCAAGCACAAGAGTACTCGCGTCTGGAGCAGGTGAGTGCAAAACAATGAAATTTGGTACACAAATCTCACCGTCTCCCAGCTTGCGAAGCAAGCAGATTCGAACGTCGGTGCGTAGAATGTGATTTCAGCAGCTAAGACCTGGATTGATCGACAATCTGTCAGACATTGTTGTTGCGGCTTCATTCCAGATGAATGAGGCCCACGATGGCTACCGTCAGTCAGGAGACTTGGCGTCAAAGAAGCGTGTTCGTGAGGCCATCAATGCTGCTCTGGGTAATCTGCCTGATTGGCCTGCTGAAAACTACTGAGCGGACGGAATCCATGATGGTAGGCTTGCTGGATGGAATCCTGAGACTACGTTCGTATCTCTCTCTCGCTTAGTGGTTTAGATAGCCTCAGGTCGGTTGTGTGCAGGATTACTTGTTGTAGGATAGCAATGAGATAGCAGAGACTTCGATCACAATTCAGGATGCCTCTAAACTCCCCAGAGAGCTGGTCCAATTGTTGCCATGGTTTCAGGCATAAAGAATATGTCGGAAAAGGCCGAAATTGAGACTGCCATTTCGGGGTTACTTTTTAGTCGGTTTTGAATGAAGGACTTATTACTTCCGATTGAGAAACAGCCTCGAGCAACCGCTCGACCCGCCCTCCTTCACCCTCCCATTTGGCCATTTTCTTCGACCCTCCTCTGTCGCATAGACTGCTGCACGAACTGTTTACGCTCTTTTACGTCTGGTGTTGAGACTGGCTTTCTCGCAGTGTCGTTTCTTCTCGATATCCTCGGCCTTGTTTAACATCCGATCCATTCGCCTTTCAACTGTTGTATCACAAGATCCTGGAACGAACTCACGATGTCCTACGCCGACCACCCCATCTCACCTCAATCCCCTGCAACCATGTCTTCCCCCCGACGTCTCACAAATAGGAACACGAACCGGTACAGCGTCACCGCCCTCTTTTCCATGGCGGCGGAACAGGATGTCGAGGTGGAAGATGAGTTGGGCCGAGGTGAATGCTGACATCTCTCCCTCCGTGGCCTCGCTTGTTAACTGCTGTCAAAGCCCAAAAACGTCTACGAGAACTCAAGTCACGCATATCTGCGCAGTCCAAGCGCAACTTCGTGCTTGAGCGTGACGTCCGCTTCCTCGATTCCCGTATAGGACTCCTTATCCAGAACCGTATGGCGCTTGACGAAGTGAGTCCTTCTCATCCTCTATGAAACCTTGCAATAATGATAGCCTCGCAGCAACACGAGGTCGAAAAACATCTTGAAGAGGTTGACCCCACCGAGGGCCACTTCCCCGATGACCGAAAAATGCAGCAGTATTCCAACCTTTTCTTCCTTCTGCAATCCGAACCGCGACACATAGCCTCCCTCTGCCGTCTCGTCAGTCTTTCTGAAATCGACACCCTGCTGCAAACGGTCATGTTCACACTGTACGGAAACCAATACGAGAGCCGAGAAGAGCACTTGCTTCTCACCATGTTCCAGTCCGTCCTTTCCTCCCAGTTCGAGACGGCGACAGAGTTTGGGTCTCTCCTTCGGGCAAACACCCCCGTCTCCCGGATGATGACGACGTATACCCGCCGAGGACCAGGTCAGAGCTATCTCAAGAGCGTCCTCGCCGAGCGTATCAACAGTCTTATCGAACACAAGGACCTTAACCTCGAGATTAACCCCGTCAAGGTGTATGAGCAGATGGTCATCCAGATTGAGGAGGAGACAGGTGCTTTGCCACCCAATCTTCCCCGTGGCGTGCCTCCAGAAATAGCAGCCGAGAATAGCGACGTCCAGGCGATCATCGCACCACGGCTGACAATGCTCATGGAGATTGCAAATAGCTTCCTCGTTACCATCATCGAGAGTATGGAGAGTGTGCCATACGGTATTCGGTGGATATGCAAGCAGATCCGTAGTCTCACAAGAGTACGTCCTGATTTTCTGCTCGTGTGATTAAAACCAGTCTCATGCTTTTTGCAGCGGAAATACCCAGACGCGACCGACTATGCTATTTGCTCTCTAATTGGAGGCTTCTTTTTCCTGCGGTTCATTAATCCCGCTGTTGTCACACCGCAAGCCTATATGCTTGTCGATGGTGTGCCGGCCAAGTTCCCCAGGCGGACATTAACTCTCGTAAGTGCGCGGTTTGGTGGCTACTCGAGTCCGGACTAATTCCCGATTAGATTGCCAAGATGCTGCAGAACCTTGCAAACAAGCCGTCATATGCCAAGGAAGCGTACATGATCACCCTCAACCCCTTCGTCGAGAATAACAAGGCCCGCATCAACCAGTTCCTGAACAATCTGTGTGAGGTGCCTGACTTCTACGACACCCTCGAGGTGAGCGACTACTCCACTCGCAAGTGTGTTGGTGTTCTGACCGATCTGGCTTAGATGGACCAATATATGGCACTGTCGAAGAAGGACCTGCTCATCCATATAACGTTAAACGAGTTGTACAACACTCATTCGCTCATCTTGCAGCATATCGAGGTCTTGGTCGGTGTATCTCTCCTATGAACTGGCGTTTCGGAATTAACAAATCCATTTGCCCAGGCTCCGAACGACAAGCAGCACCTACGCATTCTCACGGATGAACTAGGGCAGGCACCAGGACAGGTTCCTCGCAAAGAGAATCGGACCGTCGAGCTTCAGCTGTACAGCCGCTGGGAAACACCGATTCAGGACATCCAGAATGCACTCATGGATGCCGTCTCCTCTAGCGAAATGCTGTATATGGAGACGAAGTCGATCTTCGTCCAGCTCATCCGTAGTCTTCCGCATGCAGCCGATAAACGACCATACAACCTCTCGGCAATAGCGGAGCGAGCCGCGACAACGAAGGACGCGACGCTTGTGCGGAAAGGCATCAAGGTCAAGGAGATGCTTCGCGAACTCGAGGAGCAGAAGATCGTCGACCGCTCCGACGTCTACCGGCTTATGGAGGAGGAAGTCGCTCAGGAGCTGATCCACCTGGGTAACCTTCGGGAGAAGGTCCTTGCCGAGACTAAGTCGCTCGACGCAGTCTACAAGACGATCTGCGATCACAATAACTATCTCCGCGGCCAGCTCGAGCAGTACAAGGCGTATTTACAAAATGTGCGCCTCACAGCGTTGAAGGACAAAGGCGCAAGTACGGGAGTCGGCGTCGTGACCGTTGGCGGGAAGGAGAAAAAGCCTGCGAAGCCGCAAGTCCTGGGTCCATACCGGTTCACGCACGCGCAGTTGGAGAAGGAAGGTATTATTGTAGAGAGTAATGTCCCTGATAATCGGTACGTCCATTGGTGATGTATTCTTCTCCACTTGCTCATGTGCAAAACAGACGGCCGAATATTTATTTCAATATCACTTCGCCCACGCCAGGCACGTTCATCATCGCTTTGCATTACAAAGGCAGAGAGAAAGCCATCCTCGAAATGGATCTCAACATTGACGATCTACTAGAGAAGGTAAATCTTCCCTCATAACGGTATGAAGATGGCTACTGAATTATCTGTGATATTGTAGCAAAAAGACAACAAGCATCTCCTGGATCTGGAATACGTGCAGCTTAACGTACCCAAGGTGTTGGGCCTGCTGAACAAGGTTTTCACTAAGCGATGACTTCATCCTCTTATCCTGTATTGTCTACGCGCTGGCAGGCTCTTTTTCATTCTTTCGTCTGGTCAGTCTCTTTCGTGGTCTCTTTTTGTCTCTTCCTCCTGTTCGATGCCCAGCTGTCTTCACGTTCGATGAGTTATTTATCCTCCTTCCATTTCCGCGATCGCTGAATTATCAGGATGTATTATCTTATGTCTGTCTCGAAGTATAGAGCTAGTATTCGCCTCCCGTCATATACCTTAGCAAGTACCGAAATGTATATACTAGCGTGATAATTCTCTCCTTCACAGCCTTGAGTGAGACGCGACATGTCAGAGCGCGGCCGCCTTTGCCGAAGCGCAGCCTAGTACTTCAGCAGGTTTGAGATAAAACCTAACCCTAGCTCCGGCGTAGTCAAGCCTTGCCTGAAATAAGCCTTCCCTCTTGCACCCTTTTCGTCTGCTCCGTCCTTCGGTTTTTCTTTCATGTCAGGAGCGTAGCTGTTCTGCTTTTCATTCCACGATGCTAGCTGTCGTTTTCCTTCTGGCCGGCCTTGCTTTTGCGGACACCTGCTACGCTCTCGGTGGGCTCGTATCCGTTCGCCCGCCATCTTCACATACTCGCCGTTCGGGAGTCGAGAGCATCGAAGCTGGTGTTGTCAACTGGGGGAACACCACGACGCCGCTCAACTCTGCCATCATCCCGGTGTCGCAGTCAACGGACGGCCAGTGCGTGCTGCTCGTTCTCTGCACGGTGTGCTGTGTGCTCATGCACTTTGTCATTGCGCTTAGGGCATACTATTCCGTCATCGAAGTCGGGAACATCAGCTTCCGCGTGGCCCTCGACACTGGTTCTTCCGACGCTTGGATCACATCCTCTAAATGTACCACTACCGCATGCAGCGTACCAAAATACCAGCTTGGGTACGACAGCCCAACGTTTGAGTCCGTTAACGACAACTCGACTGCGTTTAATGTGAGCTTCGCGGATGGGACCCGTGCGTCGCGTTCTTCTCACTATTAAACCTTTATACTAACATGTTATCACGCAGTCGCTAATGGATTCGTGGCACTCGAGACCTTTTCAGTTGCGAACTTGATTGTACCAGGCCAAGCGTTCGGCAAGCACTCTTGAGTTTTACCGAGTGTCTCGGATGTTCATCGTCTCCTCAGGCGTTGTTACCAACAGCACTGTCACCTTTACCGACCAAATCAGCGGGATTCTAGGACTAGGCTTCCCCCGGCTATCCGACATAAATCAAGTTGTATTGACAGGTCAGTGTATCTGCATACACTGTTAGAAAATGGCTAGAACCCTTCTAGGGACTCCCTTCTTCACCACTATGGCTCAGCGAGGACAACTGGAATATCCCCTTTTCGGTCTGAACCTGGGTCAGAATTCATCCGGTAGCTTAACGCTCGGTACGTATACGCCTGATGGTGGATCGTGCTGTGCTAATGTCATTGTGGCGCCTAGGGGCCGTTGATGGCTCCGTGGTCACCAACATCACTTCAATCGTTTGGAATGAGGTCATGACATTCGCACCCTTCGCGTCGGAGAGCAACGCAACTAGCTACTTGCAGTGGGCGATCCCGTTGGGAGGTATATCTGTAAGTGGATCGCACATAGATTATGGACTATTGCCGACAACTGCACAGGTGAATGGGACCACAATTACCCCCATCCCGACTTACTCTAACCTGACGTCGACATCACTGGCATTGCTCGATATGTGAGAATATTGTATTCCACGGACATCTCTCTTTAAAACCTCTAACTTGCGATTTCTAGCGGTACTCCTGGAATATATGGGCCATTCCAAGACGTGAGTGTTGGCCCACAGGGTCTTGCATCGCGATCTGACTCCCTTCTAGGTGTCCCGGATCTATGCCTCCATTCCGGAGAGTCGCTTGGTCGATGAATGTGAGCTAGATCGGTGTACATCTTTCAACTTTCAAGTTGTGTTAATGTCAATCCTCATAAGCTGGGCAGTGGGCTATGCCGTGCGATGCAAATGAAACCATCGCTTTTATATTCGGGTAAGTTTGGAAGTGTGTTTCTTTGATGGCTGCTAAATCTAACGTTTATGATAAAGCGGGCGGACGTTTACCATGCAGCCCACTGATTATCTCATTGGCCCTGTCGATAGCTCTCCCGACCTTTGCCTCAGTTGGCCTAGAGCTACTTCTCCGAGCTCCGACGGCATAGACTGGCAGCTGGGACAACCGTTCATGCGAACTGTTTACAGCGTCTTCAGGTAAGTGTCTTTGTGGCTCATGCGCGGGATTGCTTGCGAACATGTGCTAGCCTCGGCATCGATACGAAAGAGCCTCCGCAGATCGGCCTGTTCGCTCTTCGGAACGCTTCTGCGCCCGTTGAATCGCCGCAGGCTGTGGCTTCGTTCCTCTCAGCCGCATCGGCGACGATCGACACGGCGCTACCAAATTTCGTGTTACCGACACCATCACCAACGGCTCCGCCATACGCGTTCAACACATCATTCTCCACCCAAGCCGGCGAGATCGTCTCTTCCGGTCTCGCAGCGAGTACGTACTCACCCGCAATTGGCACTCATCACGTTAATGCTACGGCGATACCAACACTGTCGCCTTCACCTACTCTTGTCACATTTATCCTAACGTCTGACGGACAGTTGGTGACCTCAGTCTCCACTGCTGCCTCGCCATCTGTAACCCTCGGTGCTCCCCCGGGGTGGACTAACGCCTCACTCGCAACGCTACGCATGTCTCTGAGCACGGTATTCCTGTCAATATTCGTGCCCTATATCCTGTTTGTCGCGCGGCTGGTCCTATAGCTAGAACTCACCTGTAGTCTCTATGACGTCCCCACCTCTACTTTCCTTTACCGTTCCGTTCATTTCCTGTTGCTATTGCTTTGTGCATATCTCAACCACCCGGACGATCTTTCCCACTGTCGCTTGTTTAAGTACATCTGTATCTTCCTGCGGCAGCCCCCAAGGACTTTGTCTTATTTTTCTTTTAACTGTTATCTGCTGCGTTATGAAGGCTTCCTGCTCTGACGTATCCCTTGTACACACATTTTAAATACAGATGAACTTGCCTCTTTTCACTGTCTTCCCGAGTCGTTGGTGTGTTTTCGTACGTACGGTCCCGATAAGAATGCTGGCGTTGTCGTAACATCCCATCAATAATACTACCTCGAGGACGTCCTTAGAACGTGCGTCAAGAATCTCCTCGGGCTCAAGAGTTCATTTAAGTGAGCATGGGACTCAAAGATCAGGTATCTCTGACTAGGCAGACGTTAACCAACAGTCGTAGCACATTGTCCAACGCCTGCATCGGACACCAGTGCTGGAGCTGATGAGAGAAATCTACGTGGCGAGTCCCTAACATGCCCTCTAAGATACAATATATAATCTATAGTTCGTCCTTCACATGGTCCGTGTGGCCATGGAAGGCTTCGGCAAGCTCTGACAACATCAACATTAAGCAGCTGAGACAACCAATGCCAAATTTAATGGCTCACTTGTTCGTATCTCAGGGGAAACCGTCTGCGGCAGTATGACATTGTACTCGACATACAAATCGCCGTACCCCGTCGACTCGTATACCGGCATACCTTCGCCCAATATCGTTTGTACAAAGCCTTGTGCTTGCGTCAGCTACTTGCAGTCGATGGGGGACGCTGATGGCACTTACCGGGCTGCGTGACACCAGTACGCTTAAGCTGCACTATGTGGCCGTCCAGATGAGTCAAGTTTCTCTCGAACCCAAGCAACGCCTCGTCAACACCGATAGACTCCTTCCAATACAGCCCGTGCTCCTTGCGCCTGTATCCGCCCTTGTCCTTCCGGCTGCGCACGCGCATGATGATGTCTCCCGCCTCCCAGTCGGGGCTCTCGTCCGCCTCACCGTCGAACACGACCTCCTGGCCCTCGGGCATGCCGCGCGGGATCTCGAGCGTGTAGTGCTGCGTGTGGTCGAGCACCTTCTGGCCTTGGCAGTGCGGACACGCGCGCTTGACGATACGTCCGCGTCCACCACACTCGTTACAGGTCGTCTGCGCCTGCGAGAACATGCCCGGGAAGATCTGCTGCCGCACGATCTTGACGCCCGCGCCGTTGCAGCCGGGGCACGTGTGGATGTCGTCGGACGAGGCAGCGCCACTGCCGCGGCAGTGGTCGCAGAGGATCTTCTTCTTTACCATGAACTGTACAGTCGTTAGTAGGCCGTACTATTTATGAAGCATGGGCTGGATACGCACATCAATGCTGTTTCCGGTATACCTGGAAACGCATCATGAGCCTCGGTCCTCGCAGCAGCCCACAAGATTGAACGTACATGTCTGCCAAACTGATTTCCATTTCTGAGAGAGAACTCGGACCGCGACGCGTTTGTTGCCCCTGGTCTGTATGCCATATCGTTAAACGGTGGTGAAGGGAAAGAAGATGGTACACTCACGGCCTCCCCCAAAGAACTGTGCGAACATGTCGAAGGGATTGGCATGGTGCTGTTGACCGCCCTCGTGGGCCTTCAAGCCTTCCTGTTGCACAGTTAGTGTCTGCCATATGTAAATTTTTGGGACGTCACGTACTTCGCCGTGTCGGTCATAGATTTGACGTTTCTAGGCAATGGGTCAACGGTCGGGTCACAACCAAACGTATAGGTACGCACTGTCGAATCTGACAGAACTTCGTAGGCTGCGCAGGGTCAACGACTGAAGCTTTGACATTTGGCTGCGGACGTACCGTGAGCGATCTCCACGAACTTCTCCTCGGCTCCTGAATCTTTGTTCTTGTCAGGATGATACCTGTAACAGTGATTATTGAAACACCGCTGTTCAAGAAAGATGGGGCATACTTCTTGCTGAGCCGCTTGTACGCTGCTCGTATGTCTTTCTCCGAAGCAGACTTTGAGACTACAGATCAAAAGAAGGAAATTAATGAAGGACTGTATAGAGCGGCATACTGCGCGCCTTCAACTAACGATCAAGAGCCTTGTACAGGTCCGCCGCAGAGACCAAGACCGCGAGGAGAAGGAAGGCGGTGAGCACGAGGAGAGTTGCCGGGGCCATGTCGTTATGTAGCCTGCCAGTAGTACGAAGAGGGTGTATGTTACTTTCAAAGCGTGTAGCAAGGTGTCGTACGCCCGTTTCTCACAACGCAGGTCTAGAAGGGGACGAGGGAAAGATGGCGGGCGCGCGAGAGTCGATGCACGACGAGATGAGTGATTCTAAAACGGGAAAGCCACGTAGCTGAATTGGCCACGTGGGTCGCGCGCACCGCATCAAACGCCCAGCGCGCCGTTGAAGCGCCCATAAGGAGCGCCCGCGCCGAGCGCACTTTCGAGTTCGAGACGTTTGACTTTCGACTACTGTCCCGCAAGGCCTGCGGGATGCTTCTGCCACGGACAAGACTAAGCCTCACCTTCACTCAAAACACTCTGCGACGATGTGCTAGGCCGTACTCCACGCCGTCTGTGTCGTACTCATCAAAAGTCAGAGGTTAAGCTGTCCGCCTCGGACCCGGCACAAGAGTGCGCTCACACCTGTCTCTCTATAGCCTTGCCGTTCGTCGCGACATCAGAAGATGTCGTAAGGCGCGCTGGCCCGCTCGCTGCACTCCAGATGTTCCAAAAAGACTACTTTTCCAACATCGTCGGTGCTGTACGAGCGTACTATGGGTTCAATGGCCAGCCACCATGGCCGGCGCGCATGCAAGCGGTGTACCTTCCAACATGGATTATCGACGCACGCGCAAGTGCGAAATTCTGGCTGTCGAAGCGGGGAGACGAGAACATCAAGCAGACGACGCTGCATGTTTACTTCCAACGATCGTGCGCCAGCCTGTCTTTCTCTATCTCCGCATCTTGTCTGAGCGGACCGTCAGGTTCATGCCGGGTTAGGATATTCCTGTGTGGCATTGCCTCTGGTTACTCAAGTGTTGCACAGGCTTCTCCATGGATCCATTGTCACAAATGTCCTTCTCGGAGCTTGCCACGGACGAGCATTTGAAAACCGCCTTGCCGTTCGGAGAAGAACTCAGGAAACAGAACGACGCGGATGTCCTCTGTCTTCCTTACACGGCGACACCTTTTGCTCTCACGGAGGCCGCCCGCACACTGTCTTTCAGCGACGCCATGGTAGAAGAAGACTTCAGATTTGATCCGGCAACACTGCGTTCACACTTGGTGCGTGTCGAGTTGCGTCGAGGAGCACATCAAGTTCTCAGTCCAACTGCGGACAGATCACAGCCTATCCTCTGCTTATTCCTGTCTATCTTTTACAATATGACGCCGACCCCGGTGCTGACAAGAAACCCTACAGCGTCACGATGGTCGTAGAAGCATCTCAACCGCAGGTAAGTGATCCCCGCCACAGTCAGCAACAAGGGCGGCAGAGGCCAAAGTCAATTTCCATAGGGGACCGTCATCACGGAGAACGTCCTCCCTCTCACGTCACGACTCTTCAGAGAATCCGTGTCGAAGAACTCCCTGTTCGACATCCCCGAAGAGCTCGCGGGCGAAGAATTCATGCGTGTCCTGCCCTGGAATAGCCCCATGCGCGAGTCCTTCGCGCGCGCGACGTGCTTCTCCAACGCGAAGCCGAAGGACTCCTGGAAGGCACAACTCGGCGAGTGGGTCGACGACCGCGCGCGCGCCGCCGGTGCGATGGCGCGCTACGCACAGCTCCAGGTGTCGCTCGGGCAGGCGGTCGACTTTGACGACATCAGGGTGCGCGACGTAGGCGAGGCGCCGGCGTTCACGGAGTACCTGTCCAAAGAACAGAACGTGCTGTTCTACCGCCACACCATGGAGGTGCGTCCTGCTTTCCTCTCCTGCGGCACACGGCATGCTCACGAGAAGACTGACTCTCGCAGCGTTTGCAGCATATCAACGCGCGGACCAAGAATGCCGAGGTGGAGGTAGAGGTGTTCGAGCTCAGCAAGGATGGAACTTCCAAAACCCAGAATGGGTCGTCCGCCTTGGAATCAGTCTTACAGAGCATGAAGGAGCAACTCAGCCAGTCGGAAGCTGTGATGAACAAGCACAAGCCAGAATGGCTGAAAGAGTGGGAGGCACGGCAGAAGGAAGAGGCGGAGAAAGAGGACAGTGACCGTTCGTAAACGCTACGGGACTTGCTTAGTTTATCCCCTGGCACTCACGATGCGTTTATCCTCGGCACCGAGAGCATATAAACGGAACACAGATACGCAGATTATGGTGGCGCGGCCACAGGGCATCTACGATATGACTATGTAGAAGGTCCTCTGAAGATCTGCTGTGCTTGAGACGGAACCGGCAAGGTCGCAGGGTGGCCGAGGTGTTCGCTAACCTACACGGAACTCTGGAATAGAACAGGATGGATTATGTGGTCCGATGCGGACGTATGTGGTAGACTGCGACAGGTACATGGCAAAGATTGAATCACGAGCGTCTGTATACGCGGGGAGCGGGTATGAGTCCCATTAGACCGAATGCGAGCATGTACAGCCCGGACGCTGGTGGCATTGTTGGTTCCGTTGAGCACGAAGAGGAGGCGTACACCACCGCTGAGACATACCTCCTATCGTGCCCTTGATGTAGCCAAGAGAGGACCACCGCCCGAGGGTGAATGTCAGCAACGACCAGCCCAGTACGATAGCGGCAGTTAGTATCTTGGCGGTCACTCGTCAGCACGCGTCACAAGAGGGAAAATGACGCTAGTGTGCGCCCATACCGGGATGACAGTTGAGAGCACACCAGATTGTCGCCAGTGACGGAACTACCACAAGGAGATGCTCAGCATCCAGATGCATGCAAGCAGAGGTTTCGGCACATACGTCAGGCTTCTCCCCTCTAATTAGTGGGATGAACAGGATGTACATGAAGAGTACCACAGTCAGGAAGCCCAGGGCGAGCGTCATCGCGGCCGTTGTCCTGGGCATGCACATGGAGGTCATGAGTCTGCCCGAACGTGTTAGGGATGAGATCAAGACGAACCATGCCCACTCTCCGCTATGGGAAGCCCCGCCGAGTAGATTCCAGAACGTATGGTGTGTGCGCAAGTAAAAGGTAATTAAGCCGCCAGGCACGATGAATTTGAGTTGGCGGAGGGTGTGCCGCGAGACTGAAACGACAGCGGACATCTCTACGAGCGGTGTGCGCTTTCGGCGAGAAGAGCAAGAGTGAGACCGTTGCCAGCCGATCTCGAGCAGGAAGCCGCAGAGCTCCTGGTAAACGAGTCCCAGGTCGCAGCAAGGCGTATGTTTGTCGTGCAGGCTCGCGCAGATGATGGTAGAGCGACACTAACAAGGCGAGCCGCGAGCACATCGCTCCCTAAAACAATCACATGGACCCCACGGCGTGACGAATGATCTGCCATAACATTCTGTGACAGCGTGACTTAACCGTGGGAAATTCGAATCCCGCGCCGGCCGGATTAGACGTCGTACTTGCTTTCTCGAGAAAGTGTCCGTCTTCACGATCGTCCATCTCGCAAATGGTGTTACAGTTCTCCAAGTGCCATTACGGGCACCGCTTACTGTTAGCCAATTATTAACTATTGTTCACCGGGCATTCCATGAACAAGGCTGTCCAAGCGTATAAATATGGCGATAACTTAACTGGTCAAGGCTCGACGCGCAGCATTCGTCGCTCCCTTTTCTCTGGCATCCTGTGCCGCTTCCTGTAGGCCGCCTGCGTTCATGTTAACCTCAGCCATGGATCTCCCGGCATCAGGCATGCATATCAAATTAACCGCTTGATTTGGCAAGTGAGTCTTAACTGCAGTCTTTAGATTGTAGGACGCCCAGGGCAGGAGCTGTGTTCATGAGGGCCTTGGGCATGATGGTGTACGTAGTCGCCTATTCAGCCTCCTGGTTCTGCTTTAATCTTAATTTTGCAGACTCTATTGCGCCACTTGTCTTCAGGTATGTCAGAGCCCACCGACACAAACAACGGACAGAAATAATGAGCAAGCATCCCGGTGAGAGCGCCATCTGGGGCGATGTTCTTCAAACGTTTAGCAGGTCTCAAAATAAGCTCGTGAGTTGCGTCTCCACCCTGTGGTCATCCACTAGTCTTACATCTGCCAAACAGTGAACTTTAGCCTTGCCTTTCGCGATATTTGCTGTTGTCTCCGACGTCATCATCGCCGCCTCGCTCTGCGTGATATTATGGAAGACAAAGTTACATTTCATAATGTACGCTGATTGGTCACCCTCATGCTTTGCTTCGCCGAGATTTGCGCCGACAGGACGAACAACGTGGTCAACAATTTAATTATCTTCGCCATAAACCGATGTATCCTCACTTCGTAAGCCGCCACATTCCGCCCAAATGTTGTCATCGTTTGACCAACTCGCGCATACAAGTGGGATCGCCGCCCTCAAAATCGTGCTGATATGTCCGCCTCACTAGCTTCGTCATCTCATCAGGCATTCTCACGCGCCTCTCTGCAGTTCGCCGTCTTCCCGAACACGCTCTAGTCTCTCGATCTCGGCTTTGTGATTGGCAAGCTCTACGCCAGCTCGCTTCTCGCGACGCTCAACACCCGCTACTCTGTCCGCAGGCGCGCCGTGGTCGTCGACACCTCTCGCGACTCCAGCAGGAGTGAAGAAGAGCTCGATGGTAGGCCGGCGGCACTACAGGACCGAAGGCATGGTGGGCTCGTGTTCTCGACCATTGTGCAAGTAAGTAGACTCAGGCTAGGGTTGGGATTTGAGTGTCATTGTTCAATTCTGTAGTAGATAGGTGCGAATAGCTGTCTAACGAGGGGTCTGTCGAACAGATGAGTTGTGGCGCCTGACCTTTCTTTGTCACAGACGCGCTGATAGTCGCGTTGGAGAGAATATAGGTGCATACACATGAGCAGGTTGTACGAGCATCACCTTCCAATACTACCACATTTCACACACACGAGGGAGGGCGTAAAGGATACTAGGAGTACCATCTAGAAAATGAGAGCAACGATACGACAAGTGGGCAGACAAGAACGGTAGAGTGCAGTCTATGTGATCATGATATCGACTTCGATCTCTTTTTCTACGTCATGCGGGACGCCGTCAGCCAGCCAATACTGGATTATGCGGAGTGAGAAGGCAGACTCACGTAAGCCACGGCGTCGAAGTCGTATTTGATACCAGCCTCCTCGAGTTTGCGCTTCTTTTGGACCTGACGCTTCAGGAGACGCTTCTCAACCTTCTCCTGCTCTTCTTCGGTTCGCAGCTGTTATAACGCCCAAGTTCAGTACCGATTCTCAAAGATACTCGTGGCGCCATACCTTGTTGTGTTGCACGCGTGCAACACGATCCCTTGGGACCGCTCTCCACTTCCGGTTGGCACCGATCCAGAGTTCAGAGTGTACTTTATCCTTGGGGATGACTTTGCACGTGAGGATATGGCCCATGAGGAGGTAGTTATCCATCGTCTCAGCAACAATTTGTGCGACAGACGAGGACGCGAATTCGATAAAGGCATAGTGTTTTGAACGACCAGTCTATGGAACGGCATTGAAATGGCGACCAGGTAATTCGACATACATGTTTCTCACCCTCTTGTTACGAGAGAGACGTAACCGAGTAACATCCCCGAATTGCATGAAGTAGGACTTCATTTGTTCTTCGTAGAAGCCATGGGGTACCCGGCCAAGGTAGATGACGCCTCGGTCCTCAGTCTACGTTGTAGTGAGAGCAGAGTCGAGCACAGGAGGCATAGATACGCACTGGCTTCCTCTTCGCCTTCTCCAGCTTCTTCTTAACGATAGCATCGTCTTTCGCGATAGTCGGGAGCTTGCCGACCTCCACAGGATCCGGGTCAACGTTCAGCTCATCATCGGACGAGTCGTTATCATCGTCTGTCGAGAAGTCAAATAACTGAACATCCTCCTCCTCCTCCTCCTCCTCCTCTTCGGCAACGTCTGCCTCCGCTTCGTGCTCCTCGGTATCGGACTCTTCTGGAGGTGGCGATGGACTTTTGACTTTTGGTTCCGAGGCAGCAACCTTCTTCGACTTGGTAGCTTTGCTCTTGGATGATGCCACAGTCTTGAGTTCCTCTGGCTGCTCCTGTATCGCTTCCACTCTCTTCTTGCCCTTTTCTTTCGCCTTCACCTCCGCCTTGCTGTTCGAGACAGCAGCCCTTTTTTCAGTCGACACGCTCTGCTCGGGCTCTTCGGTCGTCGCCTTTATCCTCTTCACTCTCTCCACGCCGAAATTCTCTTCAATGCTCTTGCGCTTGCCAGCAGCCTTGCTACTCGGCTTCTCCGCTACAGCAAGCTTCGCTTTCGCGTCGGGTTTCTTAGAAGGTTCCGCCGCCGTGCTAACAAGAGAATCTTTGGGCTTCGTGACCTTGTTTAGCTTTTTTGCGACCGTCTTGGCCATTTTTTAAAGGGGTAAAGTAGGGGGCAGGGCTGAAAGATAGAAAGCGCGAGGTTCAATGCGAGACTCAATCTCAGATTACAAAATTTCCTAAGCGTGCGCCGGTGTCCCAATCCGGACGTTTATTTGGCCAAAGGCTTTAGAAATAAACAAAAGCTGATTCGGCGCTTGTGCCTCTTGACACGCACCGCCGTGCGATTCAACCGACTACCTCCTGCTGATTTGCTGCTCCGAATATTTGTTTGAAAACACTGAAATATGGCAGAGACTCCGCAGAGCAACAACAGCTTTGCTATTCCGCCGGTCCCGAACTTACTCTCGCCCACGAGCTCAAGAACTCGCCACTCCATTGGGTCTTCTTTCTCCTTCGGTCCCCAGTCACTCATCAACTCTCTAACGGAGGCAAATCAGAGCACCATAGCGTCAAACAATCGCTCGTTTGCTCTCGATCCCAATCGCTCTATACTACCAGCAACGCCGTTCAGGTCTTCACCTCGTCCACCTCGGCGGGCGAAACCTACCACATCTGTGCGACATCCTTTGGCCAACGATAGGACCAGTGTGTTTCAGGATTCAGACAACGAAGAGGAAGAAGAGGATGGGCACTACGAGTGGGGCATGATCGACAGGATGAGGCTCTGGAGGCACGACGCGCTCATGCAGCATCTGTATGACACTGCGGCATTCTGGGGAGACAAGATCGTCAACTGGACAAGTACGTGTGTGCACGCGTCTTGTATTGTACCTCTATCTGAACTTTGATAGACGATCCAAATGACGCGTTCTGGCTCGCGCAGACCTACTTTCTCACTCATCAATACGCGCGTGCCGAGCGATTGCTCACGCGTCCGTTCCCTACAGCACCTCCGAACCTGCCGCCGGCCGCTGGAGGCGGAGTCAATGGTCACGCAGACTTCAAGGGCAAGGGGAAAGAGCTGCTAACAGACATGCACACATTCGCGAACTTGCCCAGCCAAACGCGTCTACCAGTCGGTGGTCCAGGAGAGATGATCAACGTCGCAGTCGACAATCAGGAAGGCGTCTCGCGCCTAGTGGATATGAGCGTCGCTTGCAGGTACCTTGCTGCACAATGTCAGGTGCGCCAGGGCAAGTGGACAGAGGCGACAGAGATGCTCGGCGAAGCAAACCCTTTTCGCGGTTCAGCCAACAGCGGACCCGCGGTCCCCAATATGGATGGCGGGATCAAAGTACGTCGTGATGTCTACATGATATTTGCATGCACTTACTCAATGTAAGATTGAAGCTTCCATGTGCCATCTCCGTGGCTTGCTCATGCTGAAGCTCAATCGAGGTGACCAGGCGAAGAACTGTTTTGTCGAGGCGCTCGCTTTGGACGTGAAGTGCTATGAAGCCTTTGAACAGCTCATAAGTGGGGAAATGATGACTCCTATCGAAGGTATGCTCTCTCAGTAGTCTTCGAGGCGACCATTCAAATGAAGTTACTGCTAGAATGGGAATTTGTGCAGTCTTTGGCGTATAAGGAGCAGACACCGAAAGACGCAGAGTTCGTAAGGATGATTTACACGTCGCGGTTACGCAAGTACAAGCATGCAGAGGAACACGCACTTGCCCGGCGGAAACTAGTGGAAGATTATGGTCTGGGCGATAACCCGGATGTGCTCTTCAGTTTCGCGGATGCGCTGTACTCACATTTCAGATGGGCAGACTGCTTCGCCGTCACGTCGAGGTTCATTCTGAGCTGCTACTTTCTTGCGCGAAGGTATGCTGACAAGCAGGCTATAGAATACTGGGTCTCGTCTCCGTGCATGCGCCAACAATGCCCTTGCATATAGCATGCCTATATCATTTATCGCATTTACACTCCAAGCTCTTCATTCTTGCACATGAGCTCGTCGAAAAGGAACCAGAGAACCCGATAAGCTGGTATGCGGTCGGAGTATGGTACCTCACCGCGAAGAAATGGTCGGAGGCTAGGACATACTCTAGGTGTGTTGATTTGCTACGACTGTGGAGTACATAGCTGAGTCGGTATGGGCAGCAAAACGTCGCTAATGGATCCTCGTTTTGCACCAGCGTGGGTGGCATTTGCGCATACTTTTGCTTTCGAAGGCGAGCACGACCATGCTGTCACGGCGTACTCCACCTGCGCGCGGATGTTCACGGGGTGGGTGGCGCATGCTATCGCTATATGCACTCTGATTCCCAACATTCAAGGTCACATCTACCTCTTACGTTCGTCGGCATGGAGCATCTTGTCTTGTCCAATCTATCGCTGGCAGACGAGGCGCTCTATGCTGCTCACTCCATGTGCGACGGCGACCCGCTACTAACCAATGAACGCGGCGTTATGGCGTTCAACCGCGGAAAGTAAGCTGTTATCGTGCGTGTTTGCCTTAGATTGCTTAAATACTTCTGCAGCTACGAAGAGGCGGCAAATATGTTCAAGCAGGCGATCGAGCTCGCGCAGCTAACACAGACATCCGAAACGGCATGGGCGGCGACCTACGTCAATCTCGGGACATGCTACCGGAAGCTCAAGTAAGCATTCGCACGCCCATATCTCTGCATTCACTCATCTGCGGCAACGCACAGACGTTTTCCTGAGGCGAAGGCGGCATACGAACGCGTGTTGCAACTCGAGCCGCGGAACGCCCCAGCTCTTGGCTTCCTCGGCATGGTGTACCACCTCATGTATGATCTCGACAGTGCGATCATCAAATACCATGAGGTACGTACTTCCCTGTCCCACCTTCCTTTTTCATCTAACCACTATAATAGTGCCTGAGCGTCGACCCCATCAACGGCCACGCCCTGGAGCTCCTCAGCCTGGCGCTCGATTCAAATGTAACTACAGGTTTAATGGCACAGAAAGGTCTGTCGGGTGGAGAAGAAGAGTGGGCGCGTAAGATGCGCGAGCACAGGAAGAAGGGCAAGGGCAAGGCGCCTGAGCGCGGGATGGAGGACAATGACTTTATGAGCACATAGCTCAGCAGTGTCGTTTCCGTAGCCGTGATAATTTTTTTTTGGGATTCAGGTCATCCACTTCCTCCACATGTGCCGAAGACAACAGGTAGACATCGCCTCCAGGTTTGAAATATCATTCATGATACTGTCGCGCCCTCTTTCATTAGTGAGATGTATATCTGTACTTTGTGTGGCACAGCGCAGAATAGACACTCGAGCTGTCAGCGCAAACACATTGCTTATATATATCGACCACGAAGCAGTCAATTCACAACACTGATAGTACATCGTCCAGTCCAGTCCAAAGTCCTACAGTCCGCATCGCATCTCCTGCCTCTTGCCCCGCAGTGAGTCCCAGCACGGCTGTTCATGAGCACTTATCATACTCATACGTGTCCGGCTTAGAGGGTAATGGGCGCGCAGCCGATAGAGACAAGGGAGCCCTGGTTTTGATCGTCAGTTGCTATGCAGAGTTTAACACTACGGAGGACTTACGAAGCTGTTGTTCTCGCAGCAGAGGGCGTTCGCGTCACAAGAAGAGCCACTGCCGACGCCGACGGCAGTAATGGGAGAGCACGTGAGGCCGAGCTCGGCGTTGACGTCCTGGACGACGACACCGAGGGAGCCGAGGAGGGCAGCACCGGTGGCAGAGCCAGCCTGGTATAATCATGAGCATCTGAGAGCTTACGCTATGAGCCTTGTGCAAGACATACGGTGGTGGTCGACTCGCAGCACTGGACTGGGCCGGTAGAACAGGTGGAGTCCTGACGGGAAGAGATGGGGTTGGGGGTGGCGGCCGCAAGGAAGGCGAATGCGAGGATAGAGGAGATGGCGAGCTTGGAGAACATCTTGACTGGTTGACTGGCTTTGCGGGAGACTGCTGAGTATCTGCGAGAGCTGTTTGCTGAAGACTGTCCTGCGAAATGCGAGACTTTTTATACCTATCCGTCCTACCCTTTCCTGCGGCCTCTGATGTTCTTCCACCTCGGTGGCTGAGCCGTGCGCCTCTGTGTCATCGCAGTGCATAGCTCCATGGAACGACGCGAAGGTCGGTTGGAGTAGGTTTTGACAATTCAACGTGTATGTCGTGAAGAAGCAGCATCAGCCGAGTGAGAGAACAAACATAGCTCCAAATTGCTCGGTAAACTCCACTTGTGGAGTGGAATCTGGTAGGACGGGAGGAATATGTTGGATTGCGATAGAGTAGGGATATACAAAGTGGGAAGCAGAACAGCATCAAGAGCGGCGTCGGGAGTGGCCCCTGCTTTATAACAGCGGGTTAGGTTGGTCGACCAACGGATAGAGTGTAGAGCAGCATGAACTTTGACAAGCTACCAGGCTTTCGAGCACTAGGCCGGACGGAGGATGCGTCTAGATTTCGAGCCATAGAAAGCGTCAGCGCAGTATTAGGCGGCAAAATACGACGTAGGGGTGGTAAATACAGACCGACTGACCGCCCATGCATCAGCCATGAGGATCATCGCCGTCATAGACTTGATACTTTCATGCCATACACGGACAAGAATAGCGACCACAACGAGGTGACTTCATGTAATCCGTTCAGGAACGCCCTTCATGAGTGCGGCGCCCAAGGCCCATTATGGGAAGACGGCGTGAGACGCAAGTACGTACAACACGGGCTTTGTTGCGTGCTGAAGCGTTAAATGAAGTCTAACGGGTATCTCCGCTGTATATTGGGGGTCTGGTCGGCATGTGGACCCGCAGTACGTGTCGTGAGAGGTCGAATTGACTCTCAGTTGGGGCACCATCATCAACCTCTGCGTCGGATGCTGTTCAGCGGAACAGCGGAATATCCAGCAGTAAATTCTTGTTAACATGTCATCTGATCTCTTCGTATTGCCATGTCGTTGCCGTCGATTGGCAGGCGTGGGAAATTTGAGTACTTGGGAAAATATATCAGGATGTCGATATTCGATGGCATCAGCGGGCTCACCTGTGAGTTGCAATCTCGGTGAAGCTCTGGCAAACAGGTCTCACAGTCGGTGTTCGCCTTGTGCGCTGCTGCATCATGAGGCCATCTGTGACCGAAATGCGGGCTCACGTTAAGCCCGGAAGAACAAGTTTCGTGGTTATTGCAAAATGCTTTACAAGCCAGATGTGCGACCATTGAATGAGACGGGGCAAATTAAAATCGTCAAGTGTGCTCACTCACCATGCCGGCCATGGAGCCGAGGGCATCCTCATGTAGGCTTCCACGGACAAGAACGATGAACACTTCGAGCTCGCATCTCCCAACAATGTCCGCGGTCGTTGCATCTTCTCATTTGCAAATGATAACGGACAAGGCGTATCAATGGGAACGTGTTTCGTGGCCATGTACAGTCGGAGGAACTGATCTGGACGAGATTACTTGCGAAGTCAGCTCCAACCCATGCTATGTAAGGTCACCCAGGGCTGGTTGTCGTAGTTGCCCATGTTTCTTAACCGGAGCGAAAGGTAGTCATATGCCTGCAAACTCAAGCCATGCAGGGGTGTGCTATTGTAAATTCGAAGAGCATGCTGCTCGTAGGTCTCCTACAGCCTGCTTGAACGTAAGCGTTGTCAGACGTTCAAATTCCGAAAAACGCAGAATAAAGTTGTGTACCTGGATACACACGGCACACCACGTTTCCCGCGTACGGCAATATCACGATATCGATTTGGTTAAGATCGAGTCGTCGATGATGGAAGAGACGAAGCTAAGAAGCGCTGGGAGCTCGGCGATATTAGCAGTGCTTTATATGCACGAGATGATAGCCATTGAGTAACAGACTGCATTACGGTGCGCTCGATCTACATCCGAAAGCCATAGCAGGTCCGTCGACAACATGTATCAGATCCTGCAAAACAGCTCTCCGCTCAAAGTGAAGCTGGGACACAGCCCATAGATATGAGACTACCCTGTGAGGCGAAATAATTTCTGGTTAGCGCGCAAAAGGATGCGGCAACAACAAACACATACGAAGGAGTTGTTCTCGCAGCAGACGGCTTGAGCGTTGCAGTTACCTCCGCCTGCGCCTATGACAGAGACAGGCGAGTAAGTGAGACCGACAGGTGTGTTCAAGTCCTAGAGGACGACGGCAGCCCGCTCAGGACGGATGCAGCCGACTTAGAGCCAGCCTGACAGTATCCACCTCGCTACAATCGGAGCCTCCATCGCGGGCAACGTTCATAGGGGTGGCGGCCGCAAGGAGAGTGAGAGAAAGGGTTGTGACAGCAGCGAGCTTGGAGAACATCTTGGTGGATTAGTGAGAAAGCTTGCCTGGGAAGTCGCAGAAGCTGGCGAGCCTGAAAGTGCATGGCGGACGACGTCGCTCTTTGATGCTCTACGACGAGGGCTTGGCGGGCCCGTCGGCCGGATGGCTGACCCAGCTACCGTTGCGTATCATAGCGAGGGCGACGTCGGCAGCGGGTTTCCTGACGTCGCGAGCTTGGGTCGGCCCTACACCGTGGAGCACTTGTCGACGGAGTGTTGTATTAACGTGAGCATTGGATGAACAAAACCCAAATGCGGCAGAGCAACGCAACGAGGCCGCGCGCCGTGCAGCGACCACCGCGGCGGAGCTAACTCATCCTGCGCAAATCCTCTCGCAGTGGTCCACACTAGCTTTGTACCTTATGTCATTGCGGACCCGGCGGAGAGCCGTGCCTGCAACGACTGAGTATGGACCAAATCAGCATTTTGCAACTGCCCACTTCAGACAATATCCGCACCTACAATGATGATCGCGACGAACTACATGTTTCGAATTGGGAAAAGAATTTGATTGGGCGGAAATATCGGTACATAATCATCAGGATCCGGGGACGTGCAAGGTGAAATTTGACTGTGCATCGTTGCATATGGCTACTGGCACAACCAGGAAAAGATGGCGTGACGCAGGGCGGGAGGGGTATTTCGCGCTCGTAACCGCACAGGCACATCGCTGGGAATGATGACGTCGGCAGCCGCCCATCTCGGATGCTAAGAAGCAGTAGACGGGTCTATAGGGCGTAATTCCGAACCCCAAATCCTTGTCGACGACGTAGGAGGTGACGTTCAGCTTGCCACACATATGTAGCGATGTTTACCGAAGTATCAAGGCCGTCGGATGGTTGCCGTCGTTCCGCGAGCATGCCGACTCGATGACCGATGTCCTATGCTGATGATCAGATACTTCCTCTCCAGCGCGACGACACCTCTACACACCTTTACCTTAGAACTGAAAGAGCGGATAGGCGGTGAGCTCGGTACCACGTTTATGCGACAAGGACCCCTCTCTTCATCGTGTCTCTGCGGTATCTCCGCTGTCTCACGCTGCCAGTTGGTACAGGGCGGCTGCCTTCGTAACCCATGGCGTAGCCCAAACTCTTTCCGCCCCACTCTCGCAAGGGCCTCCAGAACGATGGGGGCGGTCTTAGCTTGATGATCTTCTTCTTGTGCCTTGGTTTGTGCTTGCGTTGAGGACGGTCCACCTGTAGAACGGTAGCGGAGATGACTGGACAGCATATCTTCTCGGGAAGGAAGTCGTGCGGGCTAGGCCGTTCCTTAGCAGGGACATTGAGCGGAACAGTAAGTAGGGCAGAAGCTTGTGGTGTCGGCTTGAGCACTTCGAAGACCGCCATCTCGGCAATAGGTGTTAGCTGCTCCGCAGTGATGATAATATGCTTCTTGTTGGCGTTGGCAGGTAACTATCAGAACAACGTCAGCAATGTGACATCGTGACATAAGGCCGTGGAAGGTTGACAACACATACGTAGGATACCTTTCGCGACTCCTCCATTATCCACGAGACGTCGACAGCGGCAGCACGGGCGCGCTCGGCCCGTAACGCAGCTTTGGGTTCATCTTCTTCCCATGACGGCTCCATAGTACTACAGAAGGTCAGAGGGATTCGAACCGGTTGAGTGTAGTATCGTACACAATCTGAGGCGCTGGCTTGGGTTTCAAGGAAACAGCCTTGGTAGCCTTCGACAGTAGACGAAACTCTGCGCTGACCTCAGCAGCCTTTCAGACTGTGAATTTAGGTGACACGCACCAACAACTTCCACTTGCTCGTCATACATTTGTTGGCGGGTAGCTGGTTCTGTTTTTTCATCATCTCTGGTCTTATTTTTCCTCTGTCGTTTCTTGTGTCGCGCATCACCGCGTTCTGGCTCCGCTCGGCAGACTTGAAACTCGCCGAGGGAACGCTTTAATATGTTCTCGAGAGTTTTGACGACAGCTTGATCACCGTCTTCGACCTCATGAGGGACATCGTGCTCGGCTTCAAGATCAGCTCGAGAGACAAGCTGAGTAAATTGCTCGACAAAATGAGGGTTAGCAAACCGCGGTAGGAAGCCCATGACACAGTCTGTATCAAAGTCGAGACAAGGTTTAGCACTCTTCGAAACTTTGCGGCTGCTCTCACTTACAGTACTTGCGTGCGGAGCGAGGAAGCTGAAAGCGACTGCAGGTTGCGTCAGTACGGTTTGTCTGATGTGATGCGCCATCACCCCATCAAACGGAGCCGATGGCGCTCTTGCCGAAGAATCGCGCGTGCTTGAGCTTGTGCGCAGACTTCGACTACACCCAACATCCACTCGCTTCCTAGCCATCCTCTCGCTCCTGCGGGGCAAGGACAGATCTCATACCGAGACTCGTTGGCGAACTGATGTATCTCGCAGTTCGGCGACGAGTTTCTTCGATCTTCACCGTCAACAAAGCGGTCGCTTACGGCCTGAAGACTACGCGCAGACAGAATGATGGGTTACGACCTGTGCACCGACAGTTCAACACTCTCTTGACGTCTAACAGTATACGGCTACGATCGCATCATGTTCCTTCTGCGCCCATCCGCCATGTTCATGTCCGCGCGCTTTCCTATTCCTCCATTCCGAAGTTCATGCTCCGAGCTCTTAGAGTGCCTGTTGGGGCCGCGACGGTGGGAGCAGGAGGACTTACTTATGCCAACTATCAGTTTGAAGGTACGTAAGTCCATTCACACGCGTAAATGCTAGCCTCATCTTTGCTCAGAGATTCGCAAGAAGTCCAATGAATGGCTGAGTACCGTTCAGGATACTGCGGGCGAGCTCTTCAACACCGCGTCGGACACATTCAAAAGCGTATCTTCCGTTATCTCTGGGAGTGTCGCCGACATCAAGCTTCCCGACATAGAAGCCCCTCAATTCTTGAAAGATCTCTTCAGCGGTCCGAAGAATGACAACAAGCAGAACGGACAGGAAGGAGGTCCAGACAGCGGACAACGAAGTAGTCGACCAGATGGCAAAGATGTTGTCATCGCTGGTTTGGCCGCTGACCATTTCACCTCTTCGGATTCGACAGCGGACGACTCCGCCGATCCTCGGAACGGATTAATGCACCTCACGCGGAGACTTATCGAGATACGGAGTATGCTCCTGAGCATTGACAAGAGTGATGCTTTGAGACTTCCCAGCATCGTGGTCATTGGGAGCCAGAGCTCTGGTAAAAGTTCTGTTTTGGAAGCTATCGTTGGACACGAGTTTCTTCCGAAGTGCGTTTCCTTGACTATTCTACCACGTCTTATGACTGACACTCTCGCTTAGAGGGAGCAACATGGTCACTCGCCGTCCTATCGAGCTCACCCTTATCAATACCCCGGCTAAGGATGGCAAGGAGCCTGAAGTGTATGGCGAGTTCCCCGCCTTGGGACTTGGCAAGATCTCAGACTTCTCGCGAATTCAGAGGACCCTCACCGACCTTAACCTCGCCGTTCCTTCCACCGAGGCCGTTTCCGACGACCCCATTGATCTCCGGATCTACAGCCCACACGTACCGGACCTAACTCTAATTGATCTCCCTGGCTATATCCAAATCTCGTCTGCGGACCAGCCGGAGACGTTGAAGGAAAAGATCGCTGCGCTCTGCGACAAGTATATCCAAGAACCTAACATCATTCTTGCCGTCTGTGCTGCCGATGTCGACTTGGCCAACTCAACTGCTCTTAATGCTAGCAAGCGGGTCGACCGTCTTGGATCGCGTACTATCGGCGTTATAACCAAGATGGACCTGGTACCTCCTGAACAGGGTGTGCAAATCTTGTCTGGCGAGCAATACCCTCTGGAGCTTGGTTACGTTGGTGTTGTCTGCAAGCCTCCTGGCAAGCAGGACCGGACGGAGTCTACCGCTCAGCTCGCTCAGCAGACAGAGCGAGACTACTTTCGTTCACATCGCGAATTCGCCTCCAACTCCTCACTCATGGTTAGCACCGACAGGCTCAAGAAACTTCTCATAAAGGTCCTCGAGTCCTCTATGGCCTCGTCTCTGCATGGTATCACGAACGCTGTTCAGCTCGAGCTCGAGGACGCGCAATACCAATTCAAGGTTCAATATAACGATCGTCGCATTACCGCAGAGTCCTATTTTGCCGAGACGACCGACCTCTTGAAGGCTCGTTTCAAAGAATTTGCTACTCAGTTCCGTAAGCCTCAGATCCGTGCGAAGCTGAGGGAAATGTTGGACGTTCGTGTAATGGAAGTTCTCGAGACGCTCTACTGGTCAGACAAACGGACGACTACGGAGCTTACCGCTCTGGCCGACGACCCGAAGGTCAAGCCTAATTCTGTTGACTTGAACTGGCGCCGCAAGCTGGAGGCCGCCTCCTCGCTTGTAACGAAATCTGGCGTCGGCCGAGACTCCACCCAGCTTATTGCCGGCGGTATCCACGCGCTGATGGACTCCATTGTCTCCGGCGAGCCCTTCACGTACCACCCGCGCGCTGCGAAGAGCCTCGTCCAGTTCTCACACACGATCCTGCGCGAACGGGTGGGCGTGACGTTGGACCAGGTCGAGAACTGCATCAAGCCGTACAAGTACGAGGTTGAGGTCAACGAGCGCGAATGGGAGATCGGGCGCACTGAGGCCGTGAAGCTCTTCGAGAACGAAATTAAGATGTGCGTGGACAAGCTAAAGGAGATCGCGAGCAAGGTCGGCGGTGGGAGAAGGTTAAGCAACTTGGTCTCGTATGTGAAGATGCTGGAGGAGAGTGATCGCGAGAAGAAGGCGCGAATGCTCAAGGGCGACGCCGCGAGTGAGGCGCCCGTAGACGAGTACCGGTACCCCCCTGCTCAGATCCTAGATGGTATGCTCTCTTCGCATGCGAGCCGAATCCCTGGACTCATCATGTTGCCTAGCTCGGCGTGCTATGCTCTTCAGCGAACGCTTGAACATCCTCAAGCTCAGGCTTGGTGCTCTTAAGTCGAAACGTTGTCGCGCAGGCCCCGAGAACGACGCCATCTGCCCCGAAGTTTTCCTGAGCGTCGTCGCAGACAAGCTTGCGTATACGGCAGCCATGTTCATCGACATTGAGTTGCTCGACCACTTCTTACGCGAGGTACGTATATTGCCATCAAGGAGTCGACTGCCAGGCTGACACAGCGTCTCCGCTAGTTCCCACATGTGATCGACTCCAGGTACAGCTTCGACAGCAAAGATATCGCCGAGTTCGCGCGCGAGAATCCCCGTATCCGCGAGCATCTCAATCTACAAGAGCGTAAGGATAAACTCGAGGAGGCCATGAAGCAGCTGAACAGCCTCGCGACGCTCCGCCCAGACATCAAGGAGCGGACTCCGCAGCGGAAGAGCTGGATCCACTAATAATACAGCTCTGTTGGATCCCTTGGATTCTCCATTGGTATCTTATTTGTTGTTGGGCCGTGTCTGCATCTTCGGTAGTAGTGTCATTAATTCCCCACTTCGCATTTGTATTCTTTTACCGCACGCATTTACGAGTTCCTCAAAGGCTTGCAGTTACACACATCCATGGTACATTAGCGCAATGCGTACACTAGTGCAATGCGTGAGCGGTCGTGAAAATCCGTAAGGTCCGAGATGGATTCTATGCTACGCGATGTGATTACAGCTTAGCCTTGGTCTTGGTGGCCTGAAGCGGGCGTCAGCGAGATTGTATGGTGCTACGGCTGATGATCGCACCTTGAGTACACCGTCGAGCTTGGTGGCAAACATCATGTTGCCCTTGGTCTTGAGCTTTCCCGTCATATACGCCTTCTGGCCATCAAGCTAAGCCCCCGAAGACGTTAGCCCCGGATTGCGAGGTCAGATGACAAGCTGGGTCACTCACCTTGCCTTCCGCGAGCTGCTGGAAGGTGTCATCGGACAGAAGGATGGTGACATTGGGCTTCTGCTTGGCTTCACCCTTGTAAATCGAGCCGGAGTTCTTGAGGTCTATTGTCCAGATACCTTCCTTGCCTTCCGCGTTCTTGATTCGTAGCTCAAAGATACCATTGGTCTGAGAGGGGAGCTCAATGGGTATTTGACTGTGACAGAAGTAGCGTTACGCACCTTCTTGAGCTGTGCCTTCTTCTCCTCGTCGTTGTAGCCCTCGAACACCTTCGCCAGGGCCGCAAGTATGGCGGAGGACTATGGAGGCGAACAGCTCAGCCGTTCTGACCCGGATACACAGAATATTGCGTCCTCACCTTGAAACCTTCGACCTGAATGTCTGACATGGTGTATGTAGATTAGGATGAAGACAAGCGGGAAGAATATGGACTCGCTTCCGAAGCCGAAGTGACGAAACACAAACGGGAGGCGCTTACGCCCATCCGCCTTAGACGCACATGTGATTTTGATGTCCGGCGCAATCTATGAGGTGATCGGATGCCGGATTCTTGATTCGATTAGATTACGATTGTGCTTTGACTCGTTCTGCGACGCGAGCATTGTGCCTGTCTTCCCTACAGCTTAGAGTCTCTAGACGGCAGAATGTCGAAACCGGCACCGCCCCCCTTTGGAGTCTATGTCCCAGCCGTAGCTTTCCTAGACGAGAACGAAGAACTAGACGAGACTGGCATCGGGCAACACATCCTCCGTCTTGCGCAGGTATCGTACCACAAGCTTCCGCACTCATGCGTAGTTTTGGCTCACCAAAGGCGCAGGGTGGCGTGAGGGGCATCTTGGTGCAAGGAAGCAATGGAGAGGCGCAACTTCTCTCTCACGAAGAGCGAAAGACCGCCATTCGCATCACCAGAGATACCTTGGACAAGAACGGGTTCAAGGATACTGTGATCGTGGCTGGTACAGGCGCACAGTCCGCCAAGGAGACGATCAAGCTCTGCAAGGACGCTGCAGAGGCAGGCGCCGCTTATGTGCTCGTGCTGACGCCCTCAACGTGGCCTAAACAAATGACCCCACCGAACATCATTCGCTTCTTCCACAGGGTATGTGCCCAGCCGCATGCGGATCCAAGCGTCTCATTTGAGCGAATTTTTCGCAGGTGGCAGACGAGTCTCCTCTTCCCATCATGATCTACAATTTCCCTACCGTCACCGCCGGCATCGACCTCGACTCCGACACCATCATCGCCATCGCCCAGCACCCCAGAATCGTCGGCACAAAGCTCTCCTGCGGCAACATCGGCAAACTCCACCGCGTAAGCTCCGCTCTGCCCTCCGCCGAGTTCGCAGCGTTCCCTGGCAAGTCGGACGTGGTCCTCCAGGGCCTCTTCTCCGGGAGCGCAGGGATCATCGGCGCGCTGCCAAACGTCGCACCGAAGGCGCACGCACACCTATTGAAGTTGTATGGCGAGGGAAAGCTGGAGGAAGCGACAAAGCTGCAGTCGCTGCTCGGCCAGTCGGACTGGGAGCTTAGCAAGCTCGGGAGCATCGGAGGTATTAAGGCCGTCGTGTCGAAGCACTTTGGGTATGGTGGACCCCACGTCAGGAGCCCACTGGCGCCGCTTCTGGATGAGCAGAAGGTGACGAACGCGAAACTGGAGGAGCTGATTGCGTTGGAAAAATCACTCTAAGTTCTCAGGATCTGGACAGTATATCTCACAAGTCATGTTCAGAGTTCCATAGCTTCATCTTGTGGCGCGGCACTATCTTGGTTCTGAGGGCGGAAAATTTCGTTGAGAAGAGCAGCAACTTTCTTCTTTGCGTCGTCTTTGTCTACTTTGACCGTTCGCAGTTCTGCATCCCGGCGACTCGCAATCTGCGCTTCATCCGAGAGCAGAAGCATCAATTTCATCGAATGAATGATAGAGATGAGCGAATGCGCAGCACGAATCTGAAGGGCCGTCAGTCCCGGCAGCTCACATGCAGTATTGAGAGACGGACCATGGACTCTGCGCGACACTGAGCTTGGAAAGCCTCTTGCGCCACGCGAAATTTATCCTTGTCCGCGATCTGAAGCTTCTGTCAGTTCGAGATGCTAAAACAAATTGCAGATAATGCCCACGGAAGCAAGACCGACGAGGTCAACCATGCCGTCAACCAACGTCTCTATCTCAACGTCAACCTTTTTGTTCCACTCCTCTTCGATGGCGTCCAGGTACTCGTCCGAGTTCTGGTCAATCGTCGGCTGACTGTTCCTAGAAATTAGACTAGCCGTGGGCAGAGCGGCGCGGCGCGAAACGTCCGTTTGTGGAATTTCGGCCATGGTGAAGTTCGGGTTGAAGCTGCTGAAGCGCTTGCTTGGCGCTGCTCTCTTAGCGCTGTATTTGTGGCGCGGAGGAGACCGAGCCGCAGGGCGCCAAAATCTTCACGTTTCCAACCGTCTTCTCCCAGGCGAAATGAAAATGCTCCTCAAATTGTTTGTATGCACAATAGCTCGGTATAACTCGGCTTTTTTATTTACAAGTAATAGTATTGCTTTTATGGGCTTAGCATAAGTATTCAAGGTAAGTGAGTCGCGGACACTGCAGTTCATATTTGGTGTTTATTTACGCTTACAAGGATTGCTGACGACCAAAAATTCCATCTCATCTTACAGTCTATGAGCTCTAGCCGAGCTCACACGACGCGTAATCAGAGCATGATAGGGATGCGTCCGATGCCGATCAGACCGCCCTGACGACCTTTTTTTTGTGAGTGCTCAAGCGCACGCAAGCTCGGGTTACTGCACTTACAACCTGCGTGTTGGAGCAACAGACGGTGTTGGAACTGCATGCATGCCGCTTCCAACACCGACCACGGAGACAGGCGAGCAGGTCAGGCCTTGAATGAGTCCTGTGAGATCCCCGAGTACGATGCTCGGAAGGCCAGCAAGGACTCCCGCCTCAGCAGAGGTGCTCTGTCGAGCGCTTTCAGTAAATATATGGATGAAAATAGGCCCTGTCTTACGGAAATTGTTCAGTTGCGGCACTGGACGCTGCCGCTGTCGCAGCTAGACTGCTGGCGAACCTCAAGGGGGTGGCGACCGCAAGGAAAGGGAGGGCAAGCAGGGACGCGACAGAGGTCTTCATCTTTGCGGTGAACAGAAGAGCACTGCTGATTCTGCTGAGCATTAATGCTGAAGCATCCGTTCTTATACTCAATATGTGACGCACCGTGTCTGTCAATTATCCTTACCGGTCGCGTTGACCCCGGGAAGGTCGAACGGTTCTCGAGCACGCTGGCCGGCAATGCCTCGGCCACCTCATAGTCTCGACTGCAAATCTAGTTCATCATGAATTCTCGACGATAACAGGGAAGTTTTTGTGACACATGCTTACAGTGACTGGTTCTCAGATGGTTGGACATTTGTCCAGAATAAGCCTTTTATGTTGCGGAGAACGGACCTCGCGCACCACGGTTGGTGGCATGTGTGCGAAATGAACTTCCAGAACCCATCCAGTCCGCGGTGTTTGTGCTCTCGGCTCCCTCGTTCATGATGCTCAGTATAGATCAGGACCGTCTGGGCTCTGGAGAGTACTGGAGCATATTTCGATGCAAGGTGCGGATTCACAACTTATGGACCACTGCCTTGAGGGCTTCTCTCAACAAGAGCCTATCTACAGTGGCATATAAAACTGCCCGGCTGCGTGCGAGCCATCGAGCAGGGGCTTCGTAGAAGCCCTGACAGCCCAAAAAAGCTCTGGCCAGTGACAACGCGATGAGAGGCTGTCCAATCGTCGATCGTGGGAATATTCTGCAAGCGAGCGCTGAGCGCTGAATACGACCGGTCTGCGTTCGTGTTCCGACTTGTATTCCAAATTATGGTACTTCGATTCTCTCAGCCCTTCTCATAGGCCCGCACCCTGTGGATGATCCAGTGTCGCCGTCTGTATAAGGCTTTCCTTTCCACGCACGTCCGGCTGGGAAAGACTGCAGCCAATACAGTCGAGACGACCTGCATGCATAATTGTACATCCAATCAAGGAATCTATGGTAGTCCAATCATGGGGAGAAGAGGCATGCGGCGCATAATATATTGCAAAGGGCGGTTCCGCTCCACCTCAAGTCGTAGCTTTTGGGTTCACGCTTTGCAGTGTCGTAAATGGTTAACCCGAAACATTTATAGGGAAAGGCCGCGCGCAAACGTGCCAAATTATTCTGTTTGGTCTAGGTGTCTACAAGTGGGGACCGGCACGACGAGCCTCAAGTTGGGTGATATTCGTGTACAGCATGGCTATAACGTCCGTGGCTAGAGCGGAGCCTTCGGACGCCTGAACGCGAGAGTCATCCATCGCGTTTCACCCTACCGCTCTAGACTCGACCACTGCAGCTGGGAAAATTACCACACAAACCCGCAGACCGGTTCGCCAGAAGAGCAGCTGCGAATATCCTCATACTATACAGTCCGCAAATTTCCTCAGGTCGACGACGAAACGTATAGCAATGGCTCTGTTCTTTGAAGGCGTAGATCTCCTCGGTCGAGAGTGCAGCACCGCCGAGGACTGATTTTTACTCACAATCATGAAGGAAAGCTCCTTGATCATGCTTCCGTGCATGTGCTTGCGGGGCGGAATTGCATCCGACACCTAGGACGCGTGTTCTGGCTCGCGTCGTTGTGACTAATAAACAACATCTAGAGGACCTACCAGTTGTAGCAAGAGGTGCGCAGATCTGTGGGCCGATTGCACTATGCCTCGGAGACACTGAGTTACCTTAGCTGCTTAGCAAATATACTTTTATCACCTCACCCAGGCCGTTAAAATATTGATACTGATATCATCTACTACTTAAGGCCTTTTTCCGGTGAGGCTATGCAAGACGGTTAAACGAAATTGTACAAGGAAATCGGACTGAACAGAGCCGTGCAAAATCTCGGTCTAAACGGTCCTATCATGTTACAACGCAGGATTGTGGCGCCCTCGTGTCAAAAGATCAAAGCCTCGACAAGTACATCCTGCCTGATGTACCCAATCGTAAAAATCAGGCTAGAATTGTTATAGCCAAATGACCATTGAACGGCGAGGATCCAGGGGCCGGGTGAGTTTGCTTTCGTAGCTTTCCTTGTGAGATCACCATTTGTCGAGAACTGGTCAAGATGTGGTTAATCTGGTTTTGAGATACAGTCGATTCCTTCCACGACTTCTTCTATTCTTTCCTTTTTACGTGTGCGCAACGACGGTGGTTGACTAGCTCACGCTGAGAAGTGGCAGGGGTCAGGCTAGCTTATGCACGTGGTGCCGGCTTCGCGCGCTATGACCGTCCTCTCAGTATTTTGACTATCCTCATCAATGTACGAATTGTCGAGGCTGTATAGCGAAGAAGCCGCGGGTCTAACGTTTGGCCATGGCTACGTATGCACGACCTGCTCCCGCTTAACCTCTCCACACGAGAGAGTGAGTCCATGGTATCGTACCAGTAACTTGTGCTTTCAATGAATGTTCGTAGGAAGCCAGATCCGACCCGGGATATGTCGGCGCCGTGCTTGTGCTTGACAGCAGCTGAAAGTAAGCCACCAGGAACAAGCACCCCTTATGGGCCCTCATGTAGGTAGACGCACCCACCCGGCACCTTAAATTTAATGGCGGTACGCGCCTGTTTTCGTGAATCCATCCAGTACGAAACATCAAAGGAGGGCCCGGCAACAGTTCCTATTCAGAAGACCTTTATACATGGCGTTGTCATCAAGCTATGAGGCGAAAAGTGGTCTCGTCAGTGAACACGTTTTCCGGCCATCCAGCCGGATTCGACTTTTGAAGCGCTATCAGATCACGTGACTTACTACGCGAGCGCGGCAGCTTCGTCATGGCCAGGGAGCGCCTAATTAGGTCGACCTAAGACCTAGTGGACCTAGCAGACTTAAGGACCCTAACCCCAACGCGCTTGAAACAAGTAAGTCATTCTCACGCTAGGTCGTGCATATAGCGATCGCGAACGACGCAGCAGCCAGCACCTCGTCTCGATTTATTTATCGCATGCGCCCTGGGCAGCGCATATGCCCCGGACAGAACGCCCTTGCAGCAGCCAGCGTCCTGTCTCGATTTATTTATCACCTACCTGCCCTGGCTGCCTGGCTGCTAACTTACTGATCATGCTCTCACAGCAGCCAGCACTTGCGGCCCGTCTTGATTTATTTATCGCCTAAACCCCAGAAGGAGCACCCTTGCAGGCAGAACGCCCTTGCAGCAGCCGGCACCTCGTCTCGTCCTCGCATCACTCCCTTCTGGCAGCCGGCACTCGCAGCAGCCAGCGCCCCGTCTCGATTTATTTATCGCCTACATCCTGCTTCGAACGGAACGCCCTCGTAGCAGCCACAGAGCAGCTCGGACGCAACAGAGTGTATTGGGAGAGACGAGGACATAGAGGATAATGAAATAATGGGCAGGCCAAGATAGGTATGTGTGCTCACTTCGTCACCCATCTCTTCGCATGCTCATAAAGAAACAGCCGAGCAGAGCGGAGCAGC